TTGCAGAGAGCCCAGATAGCCATCAGTCCCCTTAAGGGTAGTGGAGAGCACTGGGGGAGAGGGGGTGGTAAAATCTAACACACCTGGCCTTTTGGTGGGCTGGGGAGGGGAAGGTGGTCTGTGTCCCAATACCATTGGTGGGAATAATAAACATATAAGGAGGCATAGGCTTATAGGGCTCGAGGCTGAAGATGACAGGTAGAGGCGTCACTCATGCCTCTGTGACTGCCGCTGGGCAATGCCATCACGCTGCTCCTTGTTGATCTCATGTGGACTGCAGTGTCTATTGGAGATGGCAGAGCTTCTGCTCTCTGGCCTTGGGTGGTCACTGCCCGATTGTGTTATGTCAGCAGTCCTGTGGTTAATTCCAGGTGCAGTTCCAATTAAGGGCAAGGTTATGAAATTTATCTTTGTATCCAGTGAGGGGATGAATCCAATGCCCGGCACTGAACCAAGAATACAGTCCTAAAAAGTGTCCTGAACCTGGCAGTCCTGACTTTTGCATTGGGATCATCCCAGTTCCAAACTGCAGAGGAACAGCAAGGCCTCTCTTCTGTTTCTGTTTCTAATCCTACTACTTTAAGTCCTCAGCTGATGTGCTACCTCTTCCCCAGGAGAGAAACAGGCACATCTCTTTGAGCTTGAAAGCTTGTTTTGAAAGGCAAAGCCTTCATGCATCAGACTCTGTGCTGATGACTCTCAAACCTACCTGGGCTGCCCCAGTCTCTCCACTGACCTCTGGTCTCACATCTCCAACTGCCTTTCAGACATTTCATAATGACGTCCAGGAGACATTAAGTAAATCACGTCCAAAGCGGAACCCATTCTCTTTCCCCCAAACCCTCCCCTCCTTCTAACTTCTTATTACTGTAGAAGGCAACACTGTTCTCTCAGCCCCGCAGGCTCACGCACTACCTACCAGTCACCCCACATTCCTCACTATCTCTCACCCCACCCCACATCCAATCTGTTACTAAGGTCTGTCAATACCACTTTTGCAACCTCTCTCCAGTATTCCCCCTTCTGGTGCAGGCACTCATCCCCTCCCTCCTTGGTTACTACAATAGCTGCTGGTAGGTTTTCCTGCCTCAAGGCTCTCTTCACTCCAATCCATCCTCCCTCCACTCAGCCACTAAAGTGATTTTCCTAACTCATCAATCAGACCCTATAACACTCCTCAACCCCACTGCTCAATAAATTCTAGGGGCTCCCTAACCCCTCTAGGATCAAACACAAAATGCAGTTTGGCATTCAAAACCTTTCATAACCTGGCCGCCTCCTGCCTTTCCAGTCTTCTTACATCTTACTCCCACATGTACTTTTCCATCCAGTGACACTGACCTCATGGCTGTTCCGCGAATGAGACATTTCATTGACCAGATCCAAGCATTTTCACTGGCTGTCTCCCATGCCTGAAACACTCTCTTCATCTCTGCCTCCTGGCTTCCTTTATGTCCCAGATAACCCTGTCTTCTAAAGAAAGCCTTTCCCAACCTCTCTTAATCCTAATGCCTTTGCTCTCTTAATTATTTCCAATTTACCCTGTATAGAGCTCGCTTTGCATTTATTTGTTGGCATGTTAGATTGTGAGCTCCTGAGGGTAGGACTCAGCACTGAGTACAGTGTCTGGGACATAATAAGTGCTTATTAAATGTTTACTGACTGAATTTTCAGATTAAGGAAAAAACCTTAGCAGCTTTTCTTCCAATACGGAAAATCTATCAGTTCTATTAGCCTTAGCTTTAAGGGGCATTTCCTCTTCAAATAGTGATTCCTTACTCCAGACATCCCAGCTCTTTGGAACAGAGAAGAGCCCCAGCAAACTAGTGCCAGAAGGCTTAAATCTATTCTTTTTTTCTTTTGTTTAATGTATTTTAATAGCAAACTTATAGGAACAGCACAGAAGACAGACATTAAAAACATATACTTACATATAGGACAACTCAGAAAATGATAGCGAATGGATGGAAAGTACTGTATAATAAAAATATTATGGACACTATTTAGTTGCCATCAATAAGAAATCTACTTATTTTAAAAAATCCAAATGCTGGCATGTCCAGAAAAATGTAACAGATTTATCTATTGAAACTTGTTCATTGAAATATTTTTGACTGCATTAATGCTTTATGTCATTTGCGTTTATAATCAAAATTCCCATACAAATGAAAACAGGAAAAAAAATTGCCAATACCTGATTCTAGCCCCTAGTTTTCCATTCAAAATCATATACTTAGGTACCTTTTGACCCTACTGGAAAAAAAATCTAACATTCAAAACTACCAATAGTAGGAAGATTTTTTTTTTCTGTTTTGAGACTGAAGAATGTTTTCCCCCCATAGTGGAGTTTTAAGCATGCTCTCCACATAAGTGGTGTGCTGGCTGGATATCTTTAGGCATGACTGCGACACATTTGGCATGATTGGCACGTCGGCTGGTGTCCTCGGATAGACCAACCAGACAGGCCTCCCTTGGCTCCTACAAAGCCCCAGTTGCTGCGCTTTGCTAATGCAGATCTGTTTTGAAGCAATTTCACACATCCGACACTGGAGGGGAAGTGTCCCAATCAGAAGTTCAGTGGACTTCCAAAGGTCAGATTTCCCAGAGAGCCAACAGTCCCTGGCCTGGAGCAATCAAATTTCTAGACTCCTCTAGTACAAGAAGTTGCTTCCTGGGTGTTCTACCAGCAGTGGACTTACCACCAGTTGGCTTGGTATAAGCCATGTCCTTAAAAATGTCTCCTCATGGCAGCTCTAGTACTGGAGAACAGCAGAAGAGGCTGCAAACACTATTCTTCTATTCTTTAACCTTGACTTCCTGCTCGCTAAAGGAGGCCTGGGATCACTGTCAGAACCCTCAGTGAGATTTAGGACTGATGTTCCTAGTGATCTCCTGATGAACAAATGACTGTTTAGCTGCACCCAGCAGACATCAGTCTAGAGGCCGCCCTTCTAACAAGCTGCCCCAGGGTCTTTGGGCGCAAGACCCCCAGTTTTCTCCACCCAGAGATTCTTTCAGTTTCCAATTCAATTGAGTGGGAAGGGGGAGAGGCTCAGAAACAAAGCTAAGTCCAGACAGCAAGGTTATTTTCTTCTGCCTACCTGACCTCATTCCCACCTAAAATGTTTGTAGACACACACACACACATACACACACACACACACACACACACACACACACACACACACACACACACACACGGCTGTCAAGAAGCCACCAGACATCTGCTTGATGAATTTCTGTTTGATGAACTGAACCCATTTTAATCGGTCTGTTTCAATTCATCTAGTTTCTGTAGAAATGTAGCATCCTCTGGTGTTACTTAATCTGGCCATGCTTATACTACTCTGGACTAGGTGCCCACTTGCCAGAGCTATCATAAACCATGCCCTATGTTCCTCAAGCCCTTTCTGCCAGGAAGCTTTTAGTCCATGTGGTTTTCATTGCAGAAAACTTTGTTGGAAGGGGAGGAAGGGGAAGAAGCATTTATGAACCACCTGCTATGTGCCAGGCATGGTGCTAACCACCTTACAAATATTGTCTCATTTAATCTTCTCAACAACCCTGAGAGATAGGTCCATTTTTCAGTTCAGGAAACTGAGGCAAATAACTGTTAAGTGACTTGCTCAAGGTCAAACTGCTAGTAAGAGTCTGAGGCTATACTTGAACTCAGGTCTTCCTGACTCCAGGACCAGCACCCTGAAATGTAAGCAATTCCAGAGATTTATACTTATCTGTCTCTCCTCTAGTCCTAATCTTTAAGGCCCAATTGGGCAATCGAGAACAGAAAAGACATATTTCCCTCATGTCCTAACTGGGGTCTCTGGGAATAAGTGAAAATCCTTCCAAATAATGAGGAATTCCTGTGTTCACACCACCTATGGAACACAGCAAAGGCTGCATCTAACTGTATGTCCTGAACTAACAGGTCGTCTCAAAGAGTGTGCCAGCTGAGCACACTGGCTTGCTAATGGTCTTAACTGACTATTGTTTTAGGCAAAGAAGAGGCACCTACATATTGACTTTGGACTGGACCTCTGCTTACGTTGGCGCAGGGAGCTCTCAGCAAGGAGGCAGCAGATGCCGTTGAGGTGGCAGGTGGCCTCCAAGTCAGGAAGACCTAAGTCCAACTCATGCCTCTGACACATCCTGACTGCGTGACTCTAGGCAAGTCCTTAATGGCCTGGTGACTTAAGCAACTCTCTACAATGTTAAATCACAGATCATATAAAACAAGAGAGCCCACAGACTCACAGGATAATAGGTCTAGGGAAATTACGGGCTCAGTGGATAGAGTGCTGAACCTGGAGTCAAAAGCCCTGAGTTCAAATCCGGTCTCAGATACTTCCTAACTGTGTGACTCTGGGCAAGTCACTTAACCTCTGTTTCCCTCAGTTTCTTCATCTGTAAAATAGATATAATAATAATATCACCTGTATCCCAGGTTTGTTGTAAGGATCAAATAAGACAGCAATCATAAAGAGCTTAGCACAGTGCCTGGCACACAGTAAGAGCTATATAAATGCTAGTTATTATAAGCTATTATTAGTCTTACCCCTTCATCTTGCAGATGAAGAAAACATGCCTAGAGGGGTGAAATGATTTGTCTTAGGTCATGCAAGGGGTGGAAAAGCTAGGATCTGAAGCCAAATCTTCTGACTACAAGTATAACATTCTTTCCTTGACAGATGGCCTGCAAGAAACTATTAGCACAACTTGAAAAGCAGCTCCAATAACGTGTCCTTTGCTGACGGACTAATTGTGTGTGTGCGCACGTGTGTACATGTGTATTATGCATGTACATCATTTAAAAAAAACCTAAGCATATTTCATGCTACTTCCAAAAAGACATTTATATTCTGTACTACCTGTAATGCCTTTCAAGTAGAGAATCTAGCCCTCAGTTTATTTGCTAAGGTTGTTGTCCATTAGTTTTGTGACATTTTAATATAATTTAGGAACACAGATTAGAGAAGCAAGCAGGAAATCATTTCCCTTACCTTAGCAATAACATTGTCTGGCTCAATATTTAGCACTTTCTTCAAATCCTCTATTGCTTCACGGTACTTGTTTTGATGTTTATATGCAGTGGCACGTCGCATAAATGCTGCAAATTTGCAAAAAATATTTCTTTCAACACTTACACTCTAGACGGTTGTGGTATATTTGGCAATTGAAGAGAGAATGCAAGTAGCACAAAACCATTAATTATGTAATTACTAAGGTGTATAAACACTAAACAAGAACTATTTTTCTAGTTTTAATTTCTTTTTCAATCTTTCAATAGTTAAAAAAAAAGGAAGGACAGGAAATTTTCAGAATATCTTGGTTCTAATTTTAGCTTATTTCATATTAGTATCACCCTCAGTGTATGGTACCATCAGTGAAATTTGCAATGCACATTCAAAGTAATTGGTAAAAGGTATTTCTGAGGCAACATCAGGAAAGAATCCTTTAGATTACATGTGTAGAAATCAGCTGCATCTAGGGGTGGCACTTTCAGAAACTGAACTTAATGTCAGAGATATTGAAAGCATCACTGGTTTAAAACTCTATACACTTAATGGTGGTACACTATTGACTCTAGCAGACCCAAGAGAGAGCTCATGTAATAATAATAACCATAACAATTCACATTTCCATAGCACTGTAAGGTTGGAAAAGAGCTTCCTTCACATTAGCTTAGGAAGATAAGTAGTATAAGCAATATTTTCACCATTTTACATGTGAGGTAACACACTCTAAGGTGAAATAACTTGCCCATAGTTGTGTCTAAAGCAGGATTTGAACTAGGTCACCTGATTCCAAGTCCACCATACCCTCCATTGTACCAAACTGTCTATAAAAAATGAAAATTATTAGCTTAATAGCTTAATGTGTCACACCTTTAACAGAACTGGTAAATATCTTAATTAGAAGTCACTTAGGGGGCAGCTAGGTGGTGCAGTGGATAGAGCACTGGCCCTGAAGTCAGGAGGACCTGAGTTCAAATCCACCCTCAGACCAAACACTTGACACTTACTAGCTGTGTGACCTTGGGCAAGTCACTTAACCCCAACTGCCTAAAAATAAAAAAATAAAAAAAATAAAAGAAGTCACTTAGTCCAACCCCAGGAAGCGGTGTGGAGTAGTGGGTTGAGCACTGTACCTGGAGTCAAGAAACCTGGGTTCAAATCCTGCTTCAGGTACATACTAGCTGTGCAACACTAGGCAAGTCATTTAAATACTCTGGGCCTCAGTTCCTTCATCTACAAAATGAGGGAGGAGCTGGACTTGACCCTGGCCTCTAAGGTCTTTGGTAACTCTGAGTCTATGACCCTGGGAATTCCCTCATTTCACACGATGAAACTCAGGCCAAGAGACCGTAAATGACTCAGCCCACGTCACAGAGGCAGCGGGGCTGGGGTTTAAATTGAGATTCTCTGATGCCAAATTTGGCTCTTTTTCTAATTAAGGATATTTACATGAAGGAAATAACTCATAATAAGATGTTATAAACAAACAAATTCTACCAAAATTAACTGTATATCAATTGTTTTACCCTTTAAGTTTCCAGGTTCCAACTCTAACACTTTTTCACAATCCTGAAGAGCGTTATTCCAGTTCTTTAGTTTGATTTCTGCTTGAGCTCTGTTGTTATATGCAACCACCGTGGGAGATACTGATATGCTCCTGTGATATTAAAGAGAATCTATTTACCAAAAAAAGCTCAAATTGCTAGACATCAAAAGTATGTGTGGATGTGTAAATATAACAACTCAGATAAAATCGTAAAGCAGTCTAAACAGATAAAAGCTTATAAAATGAAAAATGAATACAAGCAAAAACTCTTATACAAGTAAATTTTCAATAAAAGTTTTAAAATACATTTGAGCACTAAAGCTTAGCCCAGAATATGGAGGTGAAAAGGGACTACTTTAACTACCCAAGATGGCTGACCACAACTCAATAGACCATAAATGCCAAACAGATTTTGGATTACTACGAAAACAACGTTCTAGTACAGAAAGTAGAAGAATGAATTAGAACAAGTACTCTTCTTATTTTCATTTCTTTGCTAATAGAAAATAAGCTGGAAGTGGCTGTAAATCTTTGAAGTAATGATCACAAGATCAACTGAATTTAAGACCCACAGGGACAAAGGAAAGAAACCAACAGGATTAAGAAAATGAATTCTAAGAATGAAAATGTTATGAGCTTCAGGGTATGAGTGGGAAGGATCCAGCAAAAACAAAAACCAAGAAACAAAAGGGCCCCACAAAGCTGGCTGCTGTTCAGGAAAAGTTGTATGATGTTCTGGAACAAATTATTCATGTATTTAGGAATGATAAGGATAACAAGAGATTCAAGTTAGCTACAAACTCTGAGAAGGAGAATTATAGGCAGAAATAGGAAAGTAATAAAAGGTGAAAATGAGTTCAGATTACTAAAGTAAGTAAGCACTGCACGGCTAAGACAAGATGAGAAGATGTAACCCTGACAAGAGCTGCTGCCCATTTACACATTTTGTTCAAATCTACCATTAAAAGAGAAGGAATTCAGAAATGTTACTGCCATGATAGCCAAGTGCCTGCCCCTGACAAAAGCTCTACCTCATCTTCCATCAGCTCTACCAAGGTCCTACCAAACTGGAAGGGTTGAGGTACAATGGCTCCAACAACAGCATCAGTCTGGCACCCAAGGCCCAGCCTAGCTAAGAGCAGAGAGGCTCTGGGCAGCAGCTGCCGGGAAACACTGGCTGGAAGAGATGTGTAGGGCCAGTGAAGAGATCAGGTCATCACTGGCTACCTAGACAATGCCACCAAGGCAGTGGCATTTCTATGTCCATGGCAGTGGCTACGTAGCCACACCCTGCCCGCTTGGCCAGAAGCTGTGACAATCACTTGTCTGCAGGAGCAGAGTAGGATCATTGAAGCCCTCTGCACAGGTTGGCTCTATGCAATGTGCATTGTAAGGTTCATGATCTCCGAAAACAATTAAATCTTATGCTCCTGAACCCCTAGATCCCAAGGCCTTTCCATCCACCCTGTAACTGAACCCTCCTACGTGTGCTGTTTCTGCCTATTAGAATGTGACATGCTCTTTCTCCCTCATTAAGAGTAGGAACTGCCTCAATTTCCTAGTTGTATCTCCAGTACCTAGCACTGTGCTTGGCACATAAGTGCTTAATAAAGGTGTTTATGCTGATGATGTTCAAACTTTTATTCCCAACTCTATTTCCAACTACCACAAAGCTGTCTCCACCCTGATGCTTCAGACCACCAGCCCAAACTCAACAGATGCCAAACCTAAAGGGCCTCCACTTTCACTGCCCAAACACACACAGGTTCCTTAGCTCCATCAGTGGTACCACCATTCTCCATGGCAGACAGAAAAGAGTACATGCAGTCTCTTACCGTCAATGCTGGGACATTCTGAAGGATCTCTTCGACACTGGCAAATACCTTTAGCATTCCTACCTTCCTCTTATGCAACTTACCTATTGTCACTACTAGCAGTAATAGCCACTAACATTTATGTAGCACTCTGATGGTTTGTGGGCAGCTAGGTGGTGCCATAGTGCATAGAGCACTGGGCCTGGAGTCAAGACAGCTCATCTTCCTGAGTTCCAATCTGGCCTCAGACACTTACTCGCTGTGTGACCCTGGGCAAGTCACTTAACACTGTTTGCCTCAGTTTCCTCATTTGTAAAGTGAGCTGGAGAAGGAAATGGCAAACCATTCCAGTATCTTTGCCAGGGAAACCCCAAATGGGGTCACGAAGAGTCAGACATGACTGAAAAATGACTGAACGACAACAGCAACTGATGGTTTGCAAAGTGCCTTACTTACATTATCTCACATGATCCTCACACAATCCTGTGAGGTAGGGGCTATTATTATCCTCATCTTGCAGATGAGGAAACTGAGGCACACAGTAGTTAAATAACTTGTCAAGTGTCACATAGCTACTAAGTCTCTGGTAGGATCTGATTTCAGATCTTCCTAAATCCAACCCTACATCAGAAAATCACCAAAGTGAACTTTTGAATTACATCCATCCTAGCATCTCACATAATTTTGAATTATATGTGAGAGACATTTTGTTCTTCATCTTTTTTTGTTGTTTGTTTGGGTGAGGCAATCAGGATTAAGTGACTTACCCAGGGTCACACAGCTAGTAAGTGTCAAGGTGTCTGAGGCCAGACTTGAATTCAGGTCCTCCTGACTCCAAGGCTGGAGCTCTATCCACTGTGTCACCTAGCTGCCCCAACATTTTGGACAAAACCAAATTCTCTATTAAAATCAATGCACTCGCAAAGAATGGGATCTTAGGTTCACTATCCATATCAGTAAGCTGTGTGAATGTAAAAATATATCCCACTTAGAAAAAGAAAAGCCAAACACCAACTTACCTAGTGTAATATGTCACAGCCTCTTCATAGTCACCTGAACTGAAGGCTTCGTTACCTTTTTCTTTTTCACGAGTAGCTAAGAAATCTCTTTCTTTGTCACTCAGACCTAGAAAAGAACATTTTTGCTGCATGTAAAAAAGGCTAAAAACTTAATAACAAAACTGAGAATTTAATTTTAAAAACAGGAACTAAAGGGCAGCTAGGTGGCGCAGTGGATAGAGCACTGGCCCTAGAGTAGGAGGAGGACCTGAGTTCAAATCGGGCCTCAGACACTTAACACTTACTAGCTGTGTGACCCTGGGCAAGTCACTTAACCCCATCGCGTAGGAACTAAAACTTTCACAATCACAAAGCTTTCTTTAAAGAACAGTTCTGTCATTCTGAGTGTCTTGTGCTGACTTCATTCTGAGGGCTTTTTTGGTTGTCGGTGAGTAATTTTAATCTTAGTTGGTTCCTAAAGTGAACTAAAGATTGTTACATCATGCCTTAAATTTATCTTGTATGTGAGTGGCAAACAAAGGAATGGAAGGGCTTTGGAGAAGAAAGAAATTCAGGAGGATAAACAACTGGACAGATGGTGAGAAAGACTGGATTTACTTGAAGTCACACAACTCCAACATAATAAATCATTATTTTAATGTTAAGTGCCAGTGACAAGATAGGGTAGTTTCAGGATGAGAAATTTTCAAACCTTCAAACAATTTTTAAAATTGCATTTATGGGTCCTTAAAGATGTCTTGTGGTGGGGCAGCTAGGTGGCGCAGTGGATGGAGCACCGGCCCTGGAGTCAGGAGGACCTGAGTTCAAATCCGGACTCAGCCACATAATACTTCCTAGCTGTGTGACTCTAGGCAAGTCACTTAACCCCAATTGCCTCACTAAAAAAACAAAAACAAAAACAACAACAACAAAAGATATCTTGTGGTTTATTATCAACGGTCAACATAATAGGACAGAAACTTCAAAACCTTCTAAATTGACATATGTTGCAATTACCTATTGTACCAATATTCTTCTCAATTTTAAGTGAATGGGAGCTGATATTTGGTGTAGTATTTTCTTTGTAATCTTCGTCGATCTTTGAACATTCTTTTTCCACATCAAATCTTAAATGAAAGAAAAAAATAAAAGGACATATGGAAAACTTCAAAACAACAAAGGAAAGTTTAATTATTGCTATATTTATGTTTCCTTCACTGTGCCTTTGAGAACCCACTCAAACAACAAATATGTATTTAAATATGGCATTAAACTAAACAAATGTGGTCTTTGTATACTGGTTTGGGGTTTATAGGGTGCTTTACACAAATGACATTCCACCTTCCTTCCCTGTTCCTTTGCAGACCTTGTCCTCATGCTTGAAATGTACCCTACTCCCTCCTTACCATCCCTTCTTAGAATCCCTAATTCCCCTCAAAATCAGCTCAGATGCCACCTATTCTAGGAAGCCTTTCCTCATCTCCAGCTTTCTACTCTCCAACTCCTGCCATCACCTTCTGTGTCTTTTGTATAGCGTTATATCAAAATTGATACAAGTTTGTTTTTTTTTTTAACCTTAGTACATGCTGGATAGAATGTTAAGGTCTCTGAAGGCAGGACCTATTTCATTTTTGTCCTTTGTACACCTAGCACTTACTTAGCACAGTGCTTGGCACACAGTAGATACTTAATGAATACTTGTTAATTGACTGTCTTGTTAGACCCTTATTACTGCTCTATAAGCAGTTAGTACCTACAGTTATTTACTTCAGATTTCTATTTTAGAAAGGCCAGAAGAGTTAAGCAAGTGACTTGTCCAGGGTCACACAGCTAATAAGTTTCAGAGCCAGGATTTGAACACAGGTCTCTTCCACTTGCAAGTCCAGCATTCTTTTCACAATACCACGCTGTTTTTCCATATAGGCTTATGTTACAAATTATCCTTGCTATAATCTTAACAAATTTTCAATGTAATGGGAACTTCTACAATAATCAAAACCTGCATCATATTTGGGTCTTACAGATTAAAATTAAGAAACATCTTTCAAGTCTCAGGCATTGTGCCTGACATATTGCTTAATAGCTGTGTGATCCTGGCCAAGTCACTTAATTATGTTTGCCTCAGTTTCCTCATCTATAAAATGAGCTTGAGAAGGAAATGGCAAACCACTCTAGTATCTTTGCCAAGAAAACCCTAAAAAAGGGTCACAAAGAGTTGGACATGACTGAACAACTAAACAAAATGATAATGGGGATCAGAAGGTAATAGGGGATAAGAATTGGACCTGTGAGTTCACTGATATAATAATATGATATAAAATAATAATAACATAATGTAGTAATGATAATATAATATTATGATGATAATGATAACAGCTAACATAAAGCACCTACTATGTGCCGGGCATTGTACAGAGCACTTTACAAAATATTTTTCTTTGATTCTCACAACAAACCTGGGAGGTAGGTGCCATTATTATCCTCATTTTACAGATGAGGAAACTGAGGCAGAGGTTAAGAGATTGGCCAGGGTCACACAGCTAGTAAGTATCTGAGGCTGGATTTGGGTTGAGGTCTTCCTGGCTTGAGGCCTAGCACTTGATCCACTGAACCAGCGGCCTGGTGTGGCAAATTCCAGACAAGGAACTGCTTCTATCAACGCTGGCTGGGACTTTCTCTACAACTTATAGTAGTGATGCCTAGAACACTGAAAGGCTAAGTGAAGTGCCCAGGCCCACACAACTGATATGTATTAGAGGCAAGACTTGAGGAGGGGAATGCAATTTATTAAAGCTTTATGTCTAGAAAGAGAATAAATTGTACCAAGAATTAGCCATATAAACTCCAAATTTCCAATGTTCTTTGCTTTGTGTGTTAAAGGCAGCATGCATGTAATAAGAAACATGCTGGACCCAGAAGCAGGAAGAGCCCCAAGTTTGAAGGCTCTGACACAGACTAGCTAGGTGACCCTAGACATCCGATTTCTCCGAGCCTCAGTTTCCTCACCTGTACAACTGGGATGATAAATGTGGTCCTGGCTTACAAGATACAACACATGCAGTATGGCCTCACGGGGTGGTTATGAGGCTCAAATGATATTGTGGATGTCAATCACTTCATAAAACTTCAGGGCTATACAAACTTCAGCTGTCATCATTCCAATGATTAAACAGCCTATGATACAAACTAAAAAAGCTATCTCCCCTCCTCTCTGACTGGAGGGTGGAGAATTAAACCCTTGCCAACGCCTTCCTTTATAGAGGGCAGACACTAGACTCTCTGTAGTCTCCAGTCTGCACCTTCCTGGTTTCCACATCACGGAACAAGACGTCCCTGCCCTGGCACCTCCTGGCATTCTCCCCTCCCCCACCTTGCTCTTCTGTATCTTTTTGTGTGCTGTTTCCCCCCTTTAGATTGTAAGCTCTTTGAGGGCAGGTACAGCCTTTTTATCAATCGTACTCCCAGCATTTAGCACAGTGCCTGAAACATCTTAGGGGCTAAATAAATGTTGATTGGATTGGACATTTAAGAAATTATTTTAGAATTTTACAGTAATTCATTACTTTTCAGAAACAAATACACATAGATAAGAAAACAGATATCATCATATCAATGTACTTACTTATCCCACTCTGCATAATCTCTTGGTACTTTCTTCTTCTGAGAGGATCTAGATTTATTATCTTTTTCCTGAAGGAAGAATAAAGCCAAATTTTACTAAATATTGATTTTTTTCTTAGGGTCTTATTGTGCTTAAAATGTGAGGCCTTGGGTTGGAGTAAACACAATATTATTGTTTCAGGTAAGGTAGCTACGTTCTCCCCAGTTGATAGACTTGGGGAGTTATAGTGATGTGAGGGCTTTATGTCATCTCTAAGAGCAGACTTTGGGGGATGGAGGAGACCACAGGTCTGCTAACTCATTCCCTGCATACTGTTTGCTTGCAGAAGGAATCTGATACTTGGGCAACACTACCTCCCTGAGGTAAGGCCCAACAAACTTTAATTTGTTTCAGCAGTAAAGGGACAGGGTTTGATTCTTGCAACTGGTTCTCAACAGAAGGACTGATACTGGGTTGGTGGGGAATCAGTGGGAAATCTTGGGGTACATAAAATCAATTCAACTGCCTCCCTACGTTGTACTAGTATATGTGGCCTTGAGGAGAAAGATCAGGTGCTATTCCATTCTGGCATTCATTGGAGCAGTCTCAGAGATCACCCAGTTTAAAAAAAAAACAAAGAGAGACAAAAAACCTTTTGTTCAGCTCTGGCTGCAAGCTGGGTCAAGAACTGAATTTCCAGATTTTTGCCCCCCCAGGGTGGGTGACAGTCTGGGATTTGCATGGCAGATTGAGATTTGATATTCATTTGCATTACTAACTATTTAATCACTTTCATAAAATAATGACCTTAGTAAAAGTGAGTCAGTGAGACAAAGCTCAAAGCCATGAAACAGAAGTAGCCAGATAGGGGTCCAAGCCAAGTGGTTTGATTGGTAGGCGCAACCACACCCCTAGGCAGCCATAGAAGCCGGCACACAGGAGGGACTGACAACCAAGTGCCCTAAGAGCCTGAGGGAGGAAGAGACATTAATGGGCTGGTGCCCACAGTACCCCCTAGTGTTCAACGGTACCCATTACATGACAAAATAAAACAATACAACAGCCTTACAAATAACCACTCAAGATCAGTAAAAAATTTACTCTGGATAGGTATTTAAGGATGTTGACAATATTTCCTTTGTTATCTCTAACAGATGTGGGATTTCCTCTGCCCTTTAATAGACACGCTGTAGCATAACTCTACTTAGTCCACAATTGGAACACAGCAGAATTGTTCATTAAAAAAAGCCCTGAGACTCCTAAGATACACTACTCTGAATGTAGGATTATGTGTGAGATGAGACCTGAAAATAGCCCCTGCTTTGAAGAGGGACATCAGCTGTAGAAGAATGAGGGGCAGGTGGTATGTACTTGAAAGAAGAGCAGAGGAGCCCCATGGAGCGTGGAGGAGGAGGGGAAGGAAGAGGAAGGGAAGGAAAAAGGGGAGAAAGGGAGAGAGGGGGAGAGAGAAGGAAAAGGAGAGGGAGAGGGGGAGAGAGGGAGAGAGGAAGAGAGGAAAGGGGGGAGGGAGAGGGAGAGAGAAGGAGAGGGATGGGGGGAGAGGGAGAGGGAGAACGAAAAACTGAGCTGAGCATCATAAGAGCCATAAGCCTGTGGGAGAAGTACTACAGGCAGAGTTGATTCACATCTGATTTTTAGATGTTGGTTACCCTGCCCCACTTCTCCAGGACTGGAAGGCTAAGGTAGGCCAGGAGCACTCAGAACTGAGGCAACACTTACTCCCAATCCCACCATGTTTGCTGTTTGGTTAAAGGAAAAAAAAAAAGATGGAAGAGAGCCAGAGGGTGGATTCTGAGATATAAACAAAGAAACCAGAGTTCTTCTGTGCAGTTGTGTTCCAATAGGGCTGTCAGTCTCCTGTTACAAAGAAAATCTTGTGGGCCAGCAAATCCTTGTCTGTTGAGATACGTGAGAGTGGTCATTAAGGACAGAGTTTGGGAAAAGAAAGGAAGGAGGTTCACCTCTGCACTTAATAAATATTTGTCCCTTCCTTTTCTGAAAGATCAAAGATGTAGTGTAAACATGGCCAGGCAATAGCATATGACAGAATCAGTGTAAGGACATCAGTGGTCCTGTAGCACCAAACATGTGAGTTGTCTCTTCTTGCATGTACCTTGGCTATATATGCTCCCTTCATGTGTTTCTTCCCATTTGTGAACTGTGTCCCTTCTTCCTACTGACACCCTCCTATTTGTGGGAAGGTACACCCCAAGTTTATGGGGGAGGTGTTTTTTACTATGTCTTTACTATGCCATGTCAGTAAACGTCCTTTGCTTTAAGCTGTATCCTCTGGCTAACTAGAGTCAAGATAAACAGTCTGGTGGGAGCTTGTGAGCTCTGGTTTTAGGGGCATGAGGCCCAGCAAGTACCTCAAACCTTGAGCTGTCATCTTTTTTTGCCTTTCTTTGTATCCCCAGCAACTAGCACGGTGCCTGGCACACAGTAGGTGCTAAACAAATGCTTACTGAATGACTCACTCAACTTTTGGGGAGGCAACCTGAGTGCATGCTACAAATTTAATGGAATGTTTTTGCTCCATGAGAAAGGACAAACATGAAGAATTCAGTGTTATACAATTGTCAGTTACCAGCACTATGCTAGATGGCTTTGCTAAATTGTTTTTTTCTCTGTTATAAGGGAGGGGAGCTTACTAGATGGGGGGAGAAGTGGGATGAAGGAAATGATTGTGTTGTAAAAACAAAAGGCATCAATCAAACTTATCATTAGTTTTTTAAAAGCCATAAGAGCAAAGACAAGAGGTTTTTTAAAAAAAAAGAACAGAACAGAAATGGAATACAGGATGGTTAAATAGAGATGAAGGGGTAAGTGAAGAGTAGTCAGGGATTCCTGAGGGGAAACACTGAGGCTGGTGATATAGATGACTGTCACAAAATTGTTATTACCTGAAGCTGAGATGGGTCAGATCTATGGCCCAGAGAGGAAAAGGTCCCACAACTCCAAGGCAGAAAGAAGCAGAATGTGGAAATGGGAGCACAGGGGGAGGAGTCAAGGTCCATAAGAAGAGCCTGTGGAACTCTCCTGACCTCCACCTCATAAAGACCTTCTCTTCTTTTAAGATGCAGCTTGGGTGCCAGCTTGTGCATGACATCTTTCCTGAACCACTCCCCCAGGTAACAGCGACCTCCATCCCAAACTCCCTTGTATTGAGCTACTTTGTGTGTATATACATAATACACGTACGTAAACATGTAAATGTGTGCTGCACATACTGATATCTGTACTTATCTCTCCTTTTAGAAAACAAGCTTGAGAATAAGGTTATTTCATCCTTTGCATTTCCCTCCCAGAGCCTAGTACAGTGGCTGGCCCACAGTAGGTGCTTAATGAATATTCACTGATTGACGGAAGTAACTTGAGGATGAAGACTGTTTCATTTTCATCTTCATAGTCCTAGAATCTATCAAGAGAGCTTTGCATACAGTAGGTACTTTAATAAGTTTTTTTTTTAATTGAATGGGCAATAGGGAATACCTTAGAGGAGATTATTTAATGTTTTAAGTCTGCACCAAACTAAATAACAGGAGGCTGTACCTGTAATTTCCCTCAACTGTATATAGTTTATACCATGACACTCCCACACACTCTCTGGGGAAACCTGTACACTTCCACTGGATTGTGGTTATCAGGGTGGAAGAAGTAATAGACAGGAGAAGAAAAAATAGAAAAAAACTATGATCTCAGGGGTTTCGTTTACAGAGGAGAAACTTTCCCCTTTTCACTTCTCAGTGACAGGATGTCAACTGGAGGAAGGTAATAGAAAATGGACAATTGAAAAAAGTCAACCATAGGTACCCCCCAGAACCTTTGGCCAAAGCTATTTAAAAACTTGTTTAAAAAGAAATCCAAATACCTTGCCAGTATTAAGGGGGCTGTTTGTGCCACGAACTGGAGGCAGGTGGCCTTCCAATTCCTGAAATGTGTCCATTTCATGAAAATGCACCTTGGAGTCTTCCTTTTTTATTTCCGATACCCAACTCTAAGAAAGAAAAAAAATCACAGGAAAATAGAGCTTAAAATATTCAACGAATTGGGCTAAAATAATATATAATTAACTCAATTATTCAGGTATTAACAATCATTTGCATTATTCTTTACTATCAAATTAAAACCAAGAAGATACTATAAAAAAAGAAACTATGTTTATAATGATAACAAAAAAATTAACTTACCTAGATGGCAGTGTGACTTTTGTAATAAATGTCCAGATACAAATAATTGAAGGGAAATTCAGTGTTCATGAATGTATCTATTCAATAAAGGCTAATGATCCAGTACTTAGCATAACGCTTGGCATATTGCAGATGCTAAATAAATGTTTGTTGACTGGAAATGACAATAATCTCTAAATTGATGTAAAAATCATCAAAATACCGATGATATTAATGAGTTTCTTTAGAGATATAAAACTAGATGAAGGTATAACAAAATATATACAGAAAATCAAAGAGACAAGAATATCAAGGGTTAATGGGGGAGGGGTGCTGAAGAAGGCAGATTTGCCTTCATGGGCTTCTAAATATATTATAAAGCACTTGTGATCAAAGTTGTCATGTCGGGGGAATAGAAAAATTTTAATCTGTTGATGACCTATGATTTTGTAGGCACAGGAATTTAGTCCAATCTATCTAGAGTTTAGGTATCACTGAGGGTTCTTTAAGTCTCAGAGAGGATCAGTGACTTGGCCCTGGCAGTAACAGCTAGGAAATGTCTAATTCAGGATATAATGCTAATTTCTGCCTCCAAGTCCAGAAATTCTATCCATTATATGATACTGCCTCTCAGAACAGAACATATTTACCACAAAAAAGAAACAAATATATATAAAATGTGCTTGATATACTATGGAAAAAAAACTGGAGAAAAAAATTATTAACAAATGTTGGGAAAACTGAATTGCAACATGGTAAAAAAAAATCTCAATCCTCATCTCATATTATATATCATAATAAATTCCAGCTAGATCATAGACTCAATTTTTTTTAAAAAACTACTAAAAAGTTGTAAGAAAGTAGAACAAATATTTAAGCTCAATTATATTCTACTAAATAAATAGGACTTATTGCAGACAAGATTGATGGATTCAGTTTCACAAAAATAAAACTTTGTAGCACTATCATAACAACAACAAAAACTAATCCAGATAAAAAGAAAAACAACATGTCAGAAAATAAACTGATTAAGGGAGAACATGAGAGCATGAAATCAATCATTTGAAATGAATCAAATTTATCTTCAAAAATTAACTTTCCTGGCTTGGTGTAGAAGAAAGAGTGCTACCCTCAGAGTTAGGACACCTGTGTTCAAATCTTGTCTCTGATACCTACTGGCTGTATGACCATGAGTGAAGTCACATAATTTATCTCTTTGAGACTGAGTTACCCACCTCTAAAATGGGCATAATAATATGCTTCCTATTTCATAGATTTATGATGTGTGAGTCTTAAGGGGCCACAGAAATACATTATCTCAGTCTCAATTCTGAATCTATTAAGTGGAAAAACTAATGATAACCTACTCATCTACGTTGGGGAAGGAGTCTTCACGTGTGCTAGTGAGTAGAAACATTGTTCATTTGGGACAACCATTAATTCTCTTCAGCCACCTAGTTGACTTCACTATTAAGAGTCAACAAGAAGATGTCACTACCCATCTTGGTAGCCTAAAGGAGGTTAAACACTTTACCCACATTGTAAATGATGAGACCAGTAACTCTTACAACTTGTTGACAAAATTCAACTAAACCTGAAAGTTCTGTGACACCCTACATTTTTCATCTTCGCCACCAGTAAAAGACCTTTTTCAGAATAAAGACCGGAAGACCAAGACAACACACTGACCAAGTAGAATGTAACAAGTTAGAGAGCAACTTGATAGACTTTGTCCTCAGCTACCCACAACAAGCTCTTCTGATCAGTGACATTTTGGCTTCCTGCAGCTGCTTCTCCATTCTTATCTTCTTGTCATATCACTTTATGAAGTTTTCAAAAGGGTAGATTCAGGTAAGGCAGGATTCAATGGCTGTATTTTTAATAGTACCAAAATTGTGGAAGAGCAACTTAGTAGCCTTCCCCACAAACCCTAGTTTCAAATGAGAACCGGTAATTAGAAATGACAAAAGGAAATCAAATTGGTGGCAGAGTAATATAAGGCTTTATTCTGTCTAACATGTGACACACTGTGTCTGTTGAACATATGTGCTAAATTTGGGTTAAGTACAGAAAGCATTTATACCAGGGTTGATTATGTATGTGTTGCTTAAAAGACGAATAGCCTGAAATTCAAGAAGGTTCATTTGGTATTTCCCCCAAAGCAAGACTGAGCCTGGTGTTGGATCATAAAGGTATAGGGCTGGAATGGGCCTAAATATTAATTAGTACAACCCTGTAGCATTTTAGTGAAGAAGAAACTGGGACCAAGTGAGATCAAATGAACTGTCAAAGGTCATACAGCCAGAATGCAAACCTTGATCCAAATGGCCAATATGAGAATTTGTTTTGCTTGACTATGTACATATATTATAAAGGTTTTGACTCTTTTTCTTTAAAGAGAGGTGGTGGAAGAAAAAAAATTAATGCTTGATGATTGAAAAAAAAATGAATGGAAAGAAAAAAATCCTGGTCCAAGTTCTTCCTTTCACTTGCTGACCAAAGAGCTTTCATTAAGCAACTGAATTTCAGTGAATACCAAAGCATATCAGAATACTGGATAAATGAAACTAAATGGGTCTGCCATATACTCAATAGTTACTACAGGAATTCTGCTGCTGCTGTGCTTGTAACATTCCAGTAACCAATTTAGCTAGTGGCACACTCCTATAGAGGCATCTCCTCCCTCCCTTTCTGGATTAGCCAGGGTTTACTCTGCCATGGAGTTTGCTCAGCTGATTGACCAATGTTGCCCTAAAAATGTTGCCCATATTACACAAATATGGCAGGAGTTGGCAACAAAGAGGCAAAGCTCACCATCTGAAAGGACGGATCAATATCTCCATGCCTTTTCTGGATGACTATAAGAACTCAACTGTACAAAAATCCAGCCTTAAAGGGATTTGGAAGAAGTCTAGATCTTGACCTTGAAACCCGACCAATCAGAAGCTGACTGAGCTTCCAGACACTGGCACCCTGAAGTAGGTGTACCAGAGTTCCAGCTGAGGAACTCCAGGGACCTCTGGCCCAGACACAAGAACTCTCCCTACTTTCCCCTCAGCTTCTTACAATGTCCTACTAAAAGTATCCATCCATTAGCTTTTCAATAGCATGCAACAGGTCTACCACTTTTGAGTGAAATGTGAGTAATATCCCCATTGCACAACTACATAAACTATGCTTCCTATATTGACAGCTCTGTGTGTGTTTGTGTGTGTGTGTGTGTGTGTGTGTGTGTGTGTGTGTGTGTGTGTGTACGTATAGGAAGACAGGAAGACACATAGAGAGACACAGAGAAAGACAGAGACGGAGACAGAGAACCTAAATTTGGGGGAATCAAAGGTGACTCGTTATTTTTAATTATCAGAAACCTAAATAAGAGTTAACAAACTGAAACACAAAAAATGTGAGGAATCCCCAAAGAGGGCAAACACATTTGGGGGATTGTCTCACATTGTATGGGCAGCTAGGTGGTACAGTGGATAGAGTGCCTGATTTGGGTCAAGAAGGCTTATCTTCCTAAGTTCAAATCTGGCCTCAAACACTTACTAGCTGTGTGACCCTGGGCAAGTCACTCAACCCTGTTTGCCTCAGTTCTTCATCTGTAAAATGAGCTGGAGAAGGAAATAGCAAAATACTCTAGAATCTTTGCAGAGAAAACTCGAAATGGGGTCACAAAGAGTTGCACATGACTGAAAAACAATGGAAATGAACCTACATTGCACACCACAAACTCTTCTCCAGTAGGGCCACAGAGATAGATGATGGTTCAAGGGGCTATTGCTACACAGACTTGTCTGCAGCTAACTCTTCCAAAGATTCCTTTTCCTCTTCTATAAACATTCAACTACTTGATAATATCTTCCCATTACATCCTCTTACTGGTGTGATCTTATTATGTGCATCACTGTGAGTGATGGAGCATCAGTTACCTTATATTATTCATCTCATATTTCACATCCCTAGAATTTTAGGCCACTAACATTCAGTTGCATCAAATATCACCCTCATGACACCGGTAAATACAAGAAAGGATGTTGATAACTCTGTGGACTCAAAATTTAGCCAATTATCCTATATACAATTTATCCAAAACTGATGTTACATATACCTTTATATCACCATCGATTTTTTCCCATTCTTCTCGTGTAAAACTAGATGCTGTTGCTGCAGGTTTCTCCTTTCGCAAGATTCTACTTTCAGGACATAGGCTTTGAATGCGTTTTTCACAACATTCTATAAGTTCAGGGTAAAATCCTTCCTCACCAGACCTTAAAAGATATAGCAGTTACATGCATGAAAAACTGAGTAGACAAGACTATGTATATACATCATGTCTATAGGGAGCATACAACCTGGATTTTCTGGAATGTTACTGATTTCAAGGGGTTGGGAAGAGAAGGACACTTTGTGAGGTTTCATCAGAATATATATTCCCTTACTTGGTTTAGAAAAATATGATTACTATAACATACATAATCTTCATTTAATGAACAGTAAGATCTGCAGCTAATAGATGGGATTGTAAATACTGGACATAGGCAGAGAAGAAGTTAGAACACCCATGCAGAATGTGGATTCTATAACCTAGTATAATCCAAGAAGAAACTGGAAAAAAAGAAGCCCACATAGGGGAATAGTAGCATACTTTTCCCTCAGTTAATCCAGGACATCCGATAATTTTTTAAGTTCATCTTTCTCGGTACTATACAAAAAAGAATAAATACAAAACAAGTACAAAACTTAATACAATAATCTTAGAATATTCATAAATTTTTTAATGTAGTACACCCTTATTCAAGAAATTTGAGGGCAGATAAGAAAACTGTAGGAAAAAAGACAGAAATAATAAGTGTATTCTAACCCGAGGAGAGAGGGGCTGTGCCTGTGCTGGAAAGGGCTAACTTTCTATCCCCTTAACCTAAAGTAGAAAGAAAAGCTGCAATGTTAGGGAGGTGAGGAGGCTGAGCTGAGAGGCAGAATGCAAGGCCCTCAGAGACACAACCAAGCAAGGGAGAGATGAGGGGAGAACGTCTACATTGGGAAGCTGTTGAGCTATGCTGCCATCCCTATGGCTACCCTGACCAAGAAGGAGGAAAAGACTGCAGGCGTACCCTAAGTGGAAGCCACACTGAGTATGATGAAAGATTGTTGGAAATGTTTCTATTTGCTAAGAATGAAACTGGTGATGCTCTTCATTACCCTTCCTTGCTATGGCTCTCATGCTAAGCATATTCCCAGTCTTCATTTATTTAACACCATAAGGACCAGTTACAACAATTGATACAAGAATTTTAAAACTTAATTTTACTATAATTTCTCCTATCTGTGCAAATGAACCTTAAATAAAAGTCATTACAAACAGATGTTAGAATTTTAATTTGAAATAAATTAGATTTTAATTAATTTAATTTGATTTAATTTAATTTGAATAAAAATTTCCATCATGCTATCTGTATTTCTTTGCCTTCTAGATTTAAAAAATGCACTGTGTCAATCAACAGAGGTTAGTTCTTCGATGTATTCTTAAATTCTGATACATTTCAAGAATGTATTCACTTTCTTTATTTGGCGTGTGTTTTTTTTTAAACTGGTTTCTCTAAAATATTGTTCTTTATGTTAATGTTTTCCCTGGGGGTAATGCAAAAGAGAAAAAGGCTATGTATGACTGGATAGGTATACAAGAGAGAGAAATAAACTCTCTGCCTAATGGCTAGGAATTCCAGCTGGGAAATGAACAAAAAAGATTTTATTGATATATTATAGCTTTAGAAAGGCAGGTAGGTGACACAGTAGGTGGAGTACTGGGCCTGGAATCAGGAAGACTCATTTTCATTAGTTCAAATTTGTCCTCAGACACTTATTAGCTGTGAGGCCCTGGGTAAGTCACTTGACCATGTTTGCCTCAGTTTCCTCATCTGTAAAATGAGCTCAAGAAGGAAATGGTAAACTACTCTAGTATCTTTGCCAAGAAAACCCCAAAGGGGTTACAAAGAGTTGGGCATGATTGATAAAGGACTGAACAACAAACAACAAAGGACAGAGAAGAATAATTTTTTTTAAAGGCAATTGGGGTTAAGTGACTTGCCCAGGGTCACATAGCTAGTAAGTGTCAAGTGTCTGGTCTGAGACCACATTTGAACTCAGGTCTTCCTGACTCCAGGGCCAGGGCTGTATCCACTGCTCCACCTAGCTGCCCCTGAGAAGAATAAATTAATCAGGATTATCATGGACAGAGGATGAGAGCAGTTTTCCTGTGGAACATAGGATAAGACAGTAGTTTTCTGGTGGGAGGAGGTTTAGTAAATTCGTCAGAATCAGCACTGTCTGAGGCAATGGACTTCAGGCAAATTTCCCTCCCATTGTTTCTTTCTTGGCAAGTTTAAAGAATCCTGTATTTACCCACACACAGAAGTAGAAAACTAGAAAGTCCCCAAAGGGAGGAATTGGGAACAAAGTGGTCACGCACACATGAGGGTGAAGGTCAGAGATAATGACTAGTTCTAATTCTCAGCCAAACACCTGCCCCTAACCTCTACTAGCCATCTTTAGATCACTATGATTTTTGAACTTTTTTATTCCATGGCGCTCTCATTACTTATATCACCTCTTCAACAAAAACAAATTAAAAGAATTAAAATAATCTCATGCTATCAATAAAGTCTCATGCTGTTCATTTCAGAACCGATCAGGTTTCTAAACTTAAGGTTATAACCTTGGGGAAGAAGGTTACAACCATAGTAGAGAGAAAGAGATGGCAAGGAGGAGCTAAAAGATAAGAATGGGCAAATGGCAAAGCAACAATGGCAGATGGAACATAACAGTGCCAGTAATGTCGACCTAGTAGAAGAAAGAAAACAGGCCTTTAGTTCCGGTCTCTAGACATTCTTCAATCTCCCTAGGAAATCACAGATAAGTATCTGTTACCAGTTTCAGAATGACTACCTTGGATTAATATGACTCTTGCCTTCTCCCTCTGGCCCTGGCCCCCTCACTTCCAAAATAAGACATGGGTAATTTTCTAGCTCATTCCATCCAGCCCCATTAGCCTCCATCATAATCAGTCAGCTAGTCAACCACTCTATGTTTTGGGGGTTTTTTTTGTTTTGTTTTATTTTTGCCCTTGGGATGACTGATATAAAGGACATTTGTGTAACAGGGGATCTCTGCAAAGTAGATTGGCTAAATTTTCACAATGTCCAGCTACTGGGCAAGTATATACACTACTATTTTCCCACTCCCTCAGGAAAATATAACAAGTTCAGATTGGCCTAACCCTAAAATTGCTAATAGGTCATGAGGACTTTCAACAGAATGATACATAGAGATACACATAGTAAGCTCATTAGTGAGATTAAGATGTGTATGAAAACAATTTAAACAATCAAAACAATTGAAAGTTTTCCAACATATCAAGATTTTTACATCTTAAACAAATGGCATTTAAATGTTAGACAAAGTAAATTAAAAAAGAATCACCTACTTAGGTTAATTAACATACTGTTTCTAAAGAATTGAAAATTTTTTAAATGTTTACCTGAGTACAACAAGAATCTTTTCCAAATGCTTAACATCTGAACATTTTTCAACAAATTTGAAATCCAGATGTTCAATGGGAATTTGAAATGTTTTTGTTGTTCCGAAGCTCCAAAGTGAAGGTGTTTGATCAGTCATAGCTATAATAAATTTAATAATAGAGAAAAACTGTCATTATTCTCCTAAAACATAGGTTAGCACTCATATTGGACTTAACATTTTACATACCACATTAAGCTAAAAATCTTTTATTAGTGATGGAAATCAGAAGACTTGGGTTTCTGCCATAGCTTTGCTACTAACTAGCTATATGGCCTTGGCTTGAAGTCAAAGGATCTGGGTTTCAAACCAAGCTCTGATATTTAACAGTGGTGTGACCATATGTAAGTCACTTCCCCTTCCCAGGCCTCAGTTTCTTCATCTGTAAAATGAGCGAATTGGGTTAGATCTAAGTTCCATCCCAGTTCCAAATCTATGACCCTATGATCCTCCCAGTCTTAATATTCTACGACGCTGTGAAATGCATTGTTTATATCTCCACCTAAACATCCAGGTGGAGATATCCAGCAGACAATTTGAAGTGTGGATCTGGATGTTAGGCTAAAGATAGAGATTCAGGTATCATGCTCTTTGAAATAATAATGGAAGCCAGGCATGGGGATGATTGCCAAAGTAGACAGCACTGAGAGAAAAGAAACAAAGTATTAGGATCAAAACTTGGCGAAAGAGGATCTAAAATAAGAGAGAAGGAGGTAGTACAGGTGAAGATAAGGACATTCTGAAATAGCAAATTGAGGCCACTTCTTCAGATAGCCTCGATCTTCCAGAAACAGACATTCCAGGCTTCAGGTTCATCATCTCCAGAAAACTGGAGATTGAAGTGAATAATTGCCAAGTGCCTTGTAGCTCTAAAATACTACAGTTTTGTTAAAATGTTTGTCAAATTTCTTGGTGATCTTAACTCTAACCTTGTTTTCATGTTGTCTCCCCCCTTAGACTTTGAGCTCTCTGAGAGCGGGAGGCTGCCTTTTGCCTTTCTTTATATCCCCAGAGCTCAGCACATTTTATACAGGTTTATTGACTGACTAATCTCCAGCAAAATTATAGAAGAAATTATTTAATGAATGTTTTGTCAGGACCTAATGGAAGCAAGGATCACTAAGATCCAGCAGGAATCCAATAAGAATAAGTTATGTCAGGCTAACTTCATTTTGGTTGTAGACAGGGCAACTTGTTTGGCGTGTCAGAGAAATGCCACAGACATATTATTTGCGTGAGGGATGTGACAAGATAGATCCTAGATGACATTAGCTGGTATTCAGGGCCCAGCCCCAGTAATTTTTCTCTCTGCTGAACCACAGAATCTTAGACTTGGAAGAATCTCAGAGGAAAACCAGTCCAATCCAAACACTGAGCAGGAATTCCACACCCTCTCCCCCATGTTTATCCAGCCACCATCAGCTCTGCAGTCCTCCCACAGACAGAGACTGAGTTGCACCAGGTTTGCCCTATTCCACTTTTCAACTCCTCTAACCTTTCAGGTATACCTAAAATGGAGCCTTTTCTGTTTTCTCTGCAAATTTCATCCACTGCTACTATTATACTACTTTTGCCTTCTAAGAAACAAGTTCAAACACTCTTCCACATGACAATCCATAAAATACTGGAAAATAGCTATCGTGTTCTCTTTTCTAGTTAAAATACGCCCCCATTCCTTCAGTACTCATGTGGCATGGTCTCTATTCCCCCTGTCATTCTGGTTACCCGCGTCTTCAGACTGGCCAATATCTTTCTTAGTATGGCACCCATAATCAAACACAGTACTAGAGATGCAGTCCAATCAGGGCAGAGAATAGAAGGATTAGCAGTAAACCCCACTTCCTCATGCTGGTGGCACACTGGGCCCAAAGTCGGAGAAACCTGAGATCAAAGCTGGTTTCAGACAGTTACTAGCTATGTGTCCCTGGGGCAAGTCACTCAGTTTCTGTTCGCCTCAGTTTTCTCAATTGCAAAATAGGGACAAAATAGGGCCTACCTTGCAGGGCTGTTGTGAGGATTGAATGAGGTAATATTTGTAAAACTATTGGAACAGTGCCAGGCGCATAGCAGACAGTATATAAATGCTTTTTCCCTCCCTGTCTCCCCTTCCCTTTTTAGATAATCCAGCATTACATTAGCATTTGTGGCTGTCATGTCATTCTGTTGAGGCATATTGAGCTTGCAATGCACTAAAATACCTAGGTTGTTTTCAGACCAGTTGTGGTCCAGCTATGCTTCTCCAATCTGGTACTCGGGAAGCCGATTTTTTGAACCCAAGAATAGAACTTTGTAGTTATCATAATTACTTTTAAATTTTATTAGGTATGTTGGTCCACCATGTTGAGATCTTTTTGTATTCTGATTTAGTCATCCAATACGTCAGCTCTCCCTTCCAACTTCATGTTTCTTTGATAAGTATGCTATCTTTGCTTTCATTTAAGTCATCAATAAAAAGGTTGAAAAGCATCAGCAAAGCACAGAAGTCTATGGCATTCCAGTGGTGGCTTGCTTCCAAATTGACATTAATCCATTAAGCATCACTCCTTGGGTCTGGCCATTCAACCACTTATGAATCCCCCTAACTGTAATAGGATTCCACCCATATCACTGTGCCTTGCACATCAATACATCATGAGGACTTTTTCAAATGCCTTGTTGAAATTTGAGTAGAATGTGTCTCTAGCATTCCTGGCATCTACCAGTTTAGCTAATAACCCTGTCAAGAAAACAGAAAAGAGTTTAATCTGATGTGATTTGTTCTTGACAAAAATATGCTGGCTTATAGGAATCCTTGTTTCAGTTTCTAAGTGCCCACCAACTATCCTTTTAATAATATGTTCTAGAATTTTTTCAGAAGTCAAAGCCAAATTCACTCATCTATAGATTTAAAAATTTACTTTCCTTCTTTGAAAATTTGGAAAACAATTGCTTATTTGCAGTCCTGTGGCACCTTTCCCTTTTTCCATCCATGATTTTTCAAAGATCACTGATAACTGCACAATAATCACATCCACAGATTCTTTCGGCATACTGGAATATGGTTTATCTAGACCTGGTGACTTGAATCAGTCAGAGGTGTGTAAGTGCTATCTTTGCATCTTTTGTGTTCCTGTTAAGCATTTGTTTTCCATAATACATAGTCAGAGGTTCATTTTCCTTGGTGGAGGAAGCAGGGAAAGGGAGGGAAACAAAATAAAATTTGTATAGTTCTGCCAGAACCATAAGTAAGTATATTTTCATCTGTTTTTTTTTTCAAATGGTTGGAGGTGGGGTGAGGAACTTAGGAGGAAAAAGGCAGGCATTGGTGTAGTGGACCACACAAATTCAAGCAGTCTCACTGGCTGAGCAAGCTGCCAGCCTTCCATGACAGAGGTGTCATGATGATAAGAGCAAAGTGACAAGGGGGAAGGCAGTGGGATTGAGATGGGGCTATGACTGGGCCATTTGTTTTTCTCTCTTACTCAACCCCTGCTCTCATACTAGGGGACTTTAACATCCATATTTATATGCCCTCAAGCACCATAAAATCCCAGTTCATCAATATATTCATCTCACATAAGCTACTCCTCTGCCCCACCTCAGCCACACACAAAGATGGTCATACCTTTGATCTTGCCACAAAAGTACCACCACCATGTTCATGGACTCTGAAATTCCCTTACCTGACCACAAAATATTTTTATTCCATTTCTTCCTTGCCTTCAAACCCTGTTCTTTATCCATGTCATGAATTCCAATCCCTTGACCCCTCAGTTCTTTCCCAGGCCATCATTCCTGCACTAGTTACACTCTACTCCCTTACCCATCTTGATCCTTTGGTGAGCCGATTCAACTCTCTACTCTCCCCTTCTCTTGAGTTCTTCCCCCCTTATCATATCTCTGATCTTGCTCTGCTAAACTTCAGCCTTGGATCACTCCCTCTACCTACTGCCTTCACTTTCTGTGAAGAAAACTGTGAAGCTGTGCTGACTAGGTCCACTACAAATTTATGTTACATGGCTTCCACTGGAGGCTTGCTTCTGCTAAGCAATCCCTTTACACCTTCCTAATTAAGCCACTATCACACTCTCTACAGTAGCTCTTGCAAACCTTTTCATCCTTCCTCAAACCTCCCATGGCCCCCCTCTCTCACCATCTCACCTGAGAACCTTGACCCATATTTTCCTGAAAAAAAGTAAGGCCATTCACTGAGAGTTCCCTCTTCTTTCCTCCTCCATCTCACATCACCTATCTGCCTTTTGTCACTATAACCACATTTACCTTTGTCTCACGTGAAGAGGGGGATCTTCTTCTTTGCCAACGCAAAACCCTCTACGTGCACAAGTGATCCCATCCTATCCAGTCTTCTCCAGAGGACTGCTCCTTCTCTATCATCTCCACTCTCATTTATCTTTAACCTCTCCTTGTCTACTGGCTTCTTCCCTACTATTTATAAACATGTCTATGTCTCCCTCCATCCTCAAAAAAACTCTCATTTGATCCCTCCATCCCTGCTAGCTATTGTCCCACATCTCTCCTTCCTTTGGTGACTGAACTCCTTGAGAAGGTTGTCTACAATAGATATCTTCACTTCCTTTCCTCTTAATTCTCTACAGTCTGGCTTCCAATGACCTCATCATTCAACCAAAATTGCTCTCTTCAAAGTTGTCAATGATCCCTTCATTGCCAAACCCAATGGCTTATTCTTAATCCTCATTCTTCTTGACCTCTCTATAGTTTCTAAGGTGATTGATCATCTCCTTTCCCCTTTTTCTCTCTTCTCTCTAGATTTTCAAGACTCTGCTCTCTCTAGCTCTCCTATCAATCTGATTGCTTCTTCTCAGTCTTGTTTGCTGGATCTTCACAAAGGTCATGCTCACAAACCATAGGTGGTCCATGGGGCTCTGATCTGGGCCTTCTTCTCTCTTCCTTCTATACTACTTCACTTGGTGATGTCATCAACTTCCATGGATTCAATAATCATCTCTTTGCTGATGATTTTCAGATCTACTCATCCAGGCCTAACCTTTCTGCTGATCTCCTTTCTTGAATCTCCAACTGCCTATGAAACATCTTGAATTGTGTGTTCCTTAGACACCATGTACTCAATGTGTCCAAAACTGACCTCATTATCTTTTCCTCCCAAACCCTCCTCTCTTCCTAACTTCCCTATTACTGTCCAAGATACCACCATCTTCCCAGTCACCTAGGACCATAACCAAAATGGCATCCTCAACTCCTCACTCTGTCTCACTCTGCCCCACCCCAATCTCCAATCTGTTGATAATTCTGTCAATCTTACCTTTATTACATCTCTCAAATATAGACCTTTCTCTTCTCTGAGAAGGCAGCTAGGTGGTACAGTGGATAAAGTGATGTGCCTGGAGTCAGAAAGACCTGAGTTCAAATCTAGCCTCAGACACTTACTAGCTTTGTGAGAACCCTGGGTAAGTCACTTATTCTCTGTTTGCTTCAGTTTCCTCAACTGTAAAACCGAGATAATTACAAGACCTACTTCACAGGGTTGTTGTGAAAAATCAAATAAGACAATATAAAGCATTTGGCACAGTGCCTGGTATATTGTAAACACTATATAAATGTTTACTCCTCTGACACTACCATCATCAAGTATAGGCCCTCATCATCTCATACCTGGACTATTTCAATAACTTGTTAGTTGGTATTCCTGCCCCAAGTCTCTCCCCACTCCAATCCATCCTCCACTCAGCCATTAAAGTGATTTTCCTAAAGTGCAGTTCTAACCATGTCACTCTCCTACTTGATAAACTCCAGAGACTCCCTATCACCTTTAGGATCAAATATAAAATTCTGTTTGGTGTTCAAACCCATTCAGAACCTAACCCCTTTCCCCTCCTCCTTCCCAGTCTTTTTACCCTCTCCCCACTCCTGTACTCTTTGAGGCAGTGACACTGGACTCCTTGCTGTCATTTCATCTCCCAACTCCAGGCATTTTCTTTAGCTGTCCCTCATGGTCTCACTCCTTCTCCTCCTCCATCTCCTCCTCCTCTTCCTCTGCCTCCTGCTTCCCTGGCTTCCTTCAAGTTCCAGCTCAAATCCCACTTTCTACAGGAAGCCTTTCCTAATCACCCTTAATTCCAGCGCCTTTCCCCTGAAATGATCTCTAATTTGCCCCATATGCTATCTTGTATATACATAGTTGTTTCCATTTTTTCTCTTTCATTAGATTCTCAGCTTTTTGAGATCAGTGACTTATCTTCTGCTTTTCTTCGTATCCCTAGAGCTTAGCACCATGCCTGGGATGTATGAGGTAATTAATAAATGCTTACTGACTGACTCCTTCAGGGGACAGACTATTTGGGGATTACTCTTTACAGCCCTCACAATGCCTAATATAGAGTCTTGCTTTCAGTCTACATAGTGAAGGCCCTTAATCAGTAAGCATGTACCTATTCAGTAAATGCATATTGATCGAATAAAAATAAATGTCTCTCTACTGTGCAGCATCATTATGGTAGTAAGGAATTTCTGCTAATAACATCCACATTCTATTTTTAGGAAAAGAAGGTAGAATGTTTTCCATGTTATTCTCCTCATTTTTTCCTGACTCATCAAGAAAAGTCTGAAGGTACGACTTTCAAGAAAACTATTTAAAAATGTATATATGTATTATATATGCATATATACATACATATTTTTTAAAGTTAGTATTTGCAATCAAGCTTTTGTACTTGGACTACTCTCTAAGATATAATGTTATAAAAATGTTAGGAATGTTAGTTATTATCTTTTAAGGCTTACTAGAATAAAATGAAGTTTGTATAAATTTAATTTTTTTAAATAGCAAGAGAATAGAACAGCAAGATAATATTAATACTACTGGCTCTTGACAGCAATAATTTTTTAAATGAAAAAATTTAAAACATTGAATGTGAAGATATACTTACCTACAGATAAGTTTTGCTTTGCTTCTTTATTTTTTTTTATTCTCCTCCCCTCTCAACATATAAGGTCCTTGAAAGTAGGTCGTTTCTTTAAAAAAGAAAAGTGGGAGAGGTAGAGCTAAGATGGCAGATTAGATGCTGCAACCCAACTGAACTCTCTCAACATTCCACTCCAAACGACTTTAAAATAATGCCTCAAATCAAATTTTGGAGTAGTAGACCAACAAAAGGTCAAGGCAAGACATTTTTTCAGCCTAAGAAAACTTAGGAGAGAGGAAAGAGAGGTCTGTGACCCTGGGGCAGGGGCTGGCACCAGCAGGAGGCACTGGAGGTCTCAGCAACAGAACTGGATTTGGGAACTCTCAGCCCAAAGATGGTAATAGGGTTGGACAACTGATCAGAAAGAAATTACAGGGGACTCTTTGCTGGCACAGGGTGCAGCTGCCACTGACTGGCAAGTCTATTGCCCAAACACAGTTCTGGGAGTGCTTGTGGTGGGTCCCAAGGGAGCTAGAGGCCCTGGTGGAAGTCCCAAGGCAAAGAAGACCTACATGTCCAAAAATATTTATAGCAGCTCTTATTAGGTGGTGAAGAATTGGAAATTGAGATGTCTATCAATTGAGGAACAGCTGAACAAGTTGTGGCATATGATTGTGATGAAATATTATTGTGCTATAAGAAATAATCAAAAAAGAAATTTAAAAATCCTTAAGTTTTTATAAAATAAAATTGATGAATTAGATGAAAAAAGAAAGAAAGAAAGAATCAGGGGAGTGGTTTCGGAAAAACATGGCAAGACCTATATGAACTGAGGCAAAGTGAAGCGAGAAAAATTCCGAGACCATTGTGCACAGTAACAGCAACGTGGTAATAATGACCAACTGTGAAAGACTGATCGATACAATGATCCCAGGGAATTCCAAGGGACTTGGTGATGATGGGGGGGGGGGAAGGTCTCTGCCTTCACAGAGAGAAATGAAAAGCACTTTGCATAAGTTAAAGCTCTCTATAAAACTAATTACAGAGCAAAGTAGTGAATGAATGTATAAATTTCTCGTGGTAGTTATATGCACGTCATTCTGAATATGATTTTAAGGTGTGATTTTGAATTAAAAATATTTTTTTTTCCATGCTTACTCAGTGAAGCCCGCAGTCTCGGACAAGAAAATCGACACGTTTATCCTTGCTCCAAAGATAAGGTTCTACCTTACCTTATCTGCTCTCTTCTTTTGGGTTGCGAGTTCTCTAGTTCCCTGGATGAAAACCCTTGCTTCACTTTCATGCTTACAGAATTGCGTCGGATTTGCCCAGCCGCCCCCAGTTCTACAAACTACAGGTGTCTGTCATCCACCCAAAGAACTAGAGAGCTCACTTACCTCCCTCCAGCCTCCCCACCAGCCCCGCCAGCGCCGACCTACAGGAAGGAGACGCGTCCTATTCCCCTAGCAACTGCTGTTGCTATGTACATAGCAACCTATGTACAGTGCGGGCCGCGAGGGCCCAGCTGGGGGGCTTTCCCTCCTCCTTCAAGCCTCACTCTCTCCTCCCTATGCCCCCGCTCCGGCTTCGGTTAACGGCCCAAGTCCACCTCGCCGGTGTCTTGGGGCAGGAGCCAAGCCCACGGGGCTGTCCTGGTGATCTCAGGCCCTTCCCACCGCCAGCCCCACGCTGGGCTGAGGGGCCGATATCGCGCAGCGCGCACCGGGGATGGGGAGAGGCTCTCGCAGCACCTCTGAGGGCCACACAGAGGGATTGGACACCAGCACTAACCTCACTCCGAGGCACCGGCCCTGTGGGGAAGATGGGCACAGCAGCGGGCCCGGGGACCTAGAAGATGCTTTGCACGGTCTGGAATACAACAGTCAGGCCAGCGGGTCCCCCAGGGGGCGGGGCAAGGTCTATCCAGAGAGCAGATTGGCTGCTCCGCTGCTCGTCTCCTTTGATTGGCCCATTCCCCCTTCGCTGAGGCTAGCCCCACCTCCATCGCTTTTGGTTCTTTCCTCTCTTCTCCCCAGACACGCTGCAGGTTGTTCAGCATGTCTGAGTAAGTGGGAGGAGCTGAGAAGCCTCCCAACACTGAGTGTCCTGGCACATGTTTAACAACCAGGTCTCTGAAGGAAAAAAAAGAAAAGGTACACAACACTTTTAAGTTTAATCTGCAGTATTAACGTTTTCCCTATCACTTTCTTTGGGTTAAACAATCAAAAAAAAACAGTAAGTCAAACCCTGATTTGCAGAATTTGTTGATTCCCGAGGTGTAAATGTTTCCATTGTAAATTTAACAACCAGCTCTCTTCGTTTCAGAGAATGAGATAAAAAAGGTGGCGTGGTGTAGTGAATACAGTGCCGGGCTGGACATCAGGAAGATCTTGGTTCAAATAGGTCTTCCCATACTTACCTAGGAGCTAATTAACCTCTAAGTCTTACGAAACTCATTAGGATTTAATCCAGAAAATTAAAACCCCTTCATTTATTAATAAGAAATAAATTAGTCTGGTCTTTTGTTAAAGGGTATATGTTTACTCTTGTTTTGAAATGCAATTAACTTTTCTTCTTTTTTTTCTTAATTTATTTTGATTTATCAACAATCACTTCCATAAGCTTTTGAGTTTTAAATTTTTCTCCCCCTCCCTACCCCCCCCAAGAGGGCCCAAAATCTGATACAGGCTTTACATATACATTCCTATTAAACATATTTTCACATTAGTCATGTTGTAAGGAAGAATTAGAACCAACAGGAGGAACCACAAGAAAAAGGAAACAAAACAGAAGAAAAGAAAATAGCAAACAGTATGCTTTGATCTGCGTTCAAACTCCATAGTTCTTTCTTTTTCCATCATGCAACTTTTGGAGATGTCTTATATCCTTGCATTGCTGAGAAGGGTTAAATCTATCAACATTAGTCATAGCACAATGTGGCTGTTACTGTGAACAATGTTCTCCTGTTTCTGTTAATTTCACTCAGGTCTTTCCAGGTTTTTCAGAAGTCTGCTTGCTCATCATTTCTTATAGCACAATAGTATTCTATTACATTCTTATACAACAGTTTGTTCAGCCATTCCCCAACTGATGGGCATCCCCTCAATTTCGAATTCTTTGCCAGCACAGAAACAGCTGCTATAAATATTTTTGCACATGTGGGTCCTTTTCCCATTTTTATGATCTCTTTGGGATACAGCCCTAGAAGTGTTATTGTTGGGTCAAAGGGTATGCACATTTTTATAGCCCTTTGGGCATAGTTCCAAATTGCTCTCCAAAATGGTTGGATCATTTTACAACTCCACCAACAATGCATTAGTGTTCCAATTTTCCCACGTCTTCTCCAACATTTATCACAATTAACTTTTCAATGTCTACTCTGCAATTTTTTTCTTTTTTTTAAATGAAAGACTGCACTGTTCTATCCTTAAAAGACTGGACTAGTCTGTCCAATGGCCTATGTCTTTGTTCTCCATCTGCCTGCCCTTGTTTGCTTAAGATTCTGTAAAAGAATGGGATTGTTCACTGAGGTTTCTCTCACATCTAGGTCTACAATTCTTTCTTAAGTCTCCACTAACCTTCCACTTTTGGATATTACTTTGTTTTAGTGTAAGACTTAGGCATGTATATACCATGTCCCCTTCTCTATGCAAGTAAGCTCCATGAGGACTGAGTGTCTAATCTAAACTTCATATTTACTCCCAAGTGGCTAGTACATCGCTTAGCACACAGTAGGTACTTAAACATTTGGTAGCTTTATTTCATGGGGCAATACTTTCAAACTCTGAAGGGACTATTATAGATGAACTTTGAAAAGTACCATCATGTTTATTTCAACTGCTGATAAAAACTGTAGAAATTCCACTGCCCTAAACTGAAAGGGTTTCATATTCTCTAAGTGAAAAATCATTGCAAGTTTCTTTTTAAGTCCCTGATCAAGTAACTAGATTAAAATCTCTGCCTTCCACTGCCCCTCCCTTTTAGAATATTAAATTTGGCTATATACAGGTACAATTTCAGATTTCATCTTACTACCTGGACATTCACTTCCAAATTTCACAACAGTCTCCAACAATCAACAAATTACCTGAAATCACTCTGCCTACTCTGATTTGCCATTATCTTCCTCCTTCCATAGAAAGGAAACTTTCCCCAAACACTAGGAAGATGGTGGCAACTCTTCCAGTTCCAGTTTTTCTCTCTTCAACTATCACAATTTGCATTCAGGAAATCTTTCTGTAATACAAACAACAATTTCAGGGATGCTCTTAATTGGGGAATGGCTGAACAACTTGTGACATATGATTGTGATGGAACACTACCATGCTATAAGAAATGAACTTGATGATCTTAGAAAAACATGGATAGACTTGAAGAGTGAAATGAAGAGTGAAATGAGCACAACCAAGAGAATGCTGTACACAGCAACAACAATATAGTTTTAAGAACAACTTTCAGTGAATAAGTCATTTTGACTATTTTAATGCCCAAATTAACTACAAAGGACATATGAAGGAAGATGCTATCTGCATCCAAAGAACTGATAAATAAAAGTATGTATAGAATGGTTTTACATACACACATATATTTGTGCCTAAAGGTAGCCATCTCAGGTGGGTGGGGGGAGGGAAGAAAAAAAGAGGGGAAAAAGAAAGTTACACAATAACTTTATTACACATTTAAAAGGAATAGCAAGTTGTGCATAATAGATTTGCAGTTTCATATACAATCACATTTTTTTCTATTCTGTTATGGAAATGCTTGTTTTATTTCTTAAGTTCAGAATAAAATAAATGAATTTAAAAATAATAACTCATGTGCATGTAGTGCTTTAAGGTTTATAAGGGGTTTTATTTTCACAAAGGGTTTTCCTCACAATAACCCTGTAAATTATGCAATGAGAGTATTATTTACCTGTTTTGCAGCTGAGGAAACAGAGTTTCAGACAATCATTAAATACAACCCTATTGTTAAAATTCAGCATGCATTTATTAAACATTTACTATGTGCAACGCACTTGGGATACAAATAGAAAAGTAGGACAGTTCCTGTTCTCAAGGAGCTCATTTTCCAATTGGAAAGACAAACACATATGGTGGGTTTAAGCTGCCAAGTCAAATGGAAAAGTTCTATGTTCTTCAGGGTTCAACAGCAAAGCCAATGGCAATGCCTCTACTTTGATCTCATCCCCACCAACCAAGTATCAGTTTCTGATGTTGACCCACTTGACAGTGCCAAGGACTTAGGTGGCAAGAACGTTTCTGGGTCTTCAGTAGCTATGGCTGTAGCACCTGCAGGAGCAATTGCCAGGCTGCATATTCACAGGGCTCAATTCCCAAAATGATAGCCATGGGCACTAGGCTGGAAGCAAGCTATATTCCCAAGGCTCTTGGGTCCTGGACTGTCACCATCAGGATCTGAGAGGAAATGGTGGTCAGGGTGGTAGTGGTGGTTTGATGTGCCTGGCACATGCTACCCCCTATCTCTCTGTCTTGGTCCCTTGCTGCTTCTCAGCTAGGCTGACTTGCCTGCCCTGTGTGTGGTAATATATATTATACACATCTCACTTAATACTCACTTTTTTATGTGGGAATGCCACATTTCTAATACATATGTAAATAAGTTGTTTCTTTTATGTTGGACTTGGTTAAGAGAAAAAGATGCTGATTTTTGATAAATTATTAGAAATAATCAGTTAGATTATGTTGAAAACTCAACCAATATCAGTTTCAGAACATCAATCCATGTGAGCGCTACAGAAGTCAAGACAGTACACTTCAGATTGTAGGGTCAAAAGGATAAATACATCAACTCTGATAATTAATGGAAGAATAGACCAAACCATTCCAGCTGGCACAGTCCCAGTACAAACAAAAGAATAACAGATGTAGCTTTTGTTATGACTTTGGATTGATTGGACGCGGGAGTGGTGAAATGGGGGGGAAATGCAGTGATAAGTTGAATTTCAAAAAGTCAACTTCAGGAAACAGAAATAAGGGCTAGGAATGCAAATCATCTTAGACCCAGAACGTGGGTCCTCCTCAACCGAGTCAAGTAAGATCAAGAGAATGCTGTCAATAGTTCACCTTGATTTTAGTGAAGAATTTGATAGTCTTTCATGCTGTTCTTCTGGAACATATGGAAAGATGTAGTCTACACAAGAGTACAGTTGGATAGATTTGAAAGAGGTTGAATGGCTAGATACAAAGAGTGATTATTTATGAGTTGATGTCAACTGAAGGAGGTTTCCAGTAGAATATCCTATAGATCTGTGCCGTGGTCCTGTGCTAATCTGCCATTCTTGTTAATGACTTGGATAAAGGATGTCAGTGAAATCTGCAGATGACACAAAGCTGCAATAACTGACCCAAGGCATGAGTCAGGATCCAAAAAAAATTTTGTGAGGCTAGAACTGCCTCTTTAGCGACCCCATTTTAGAATTTTTCCAGGAATTAAAATCAAGTTCACAGGACTACAGTTTGCAGAGTCAATAATATTTTCCTTTTTGAAAATTGAAACACTTACTCTTCTCCAGTTCTATGGTAACTCTACCACTCTCTATGAGCTGGTCATTCAACCAGTCCTGAATCCGCCTAACTCTACCATTACCTAGTTCTCAAATCTCTTATCTTGCCTCTGTTATTTCACAGTATAGGGAACTCCCAAGTGTGGAAACTTCCTCTACTAATACAGATTGGCACCTCCTCTGCAACTTAGTCTGCTCTAGGCAGCCTCTTGAGTGTAGCCCCAACTAGATGAAAATGTAATACATATTACAACAAAAACACAAAAAACTAATACAGAACAAACAAAATAAATAACAAAGTGAACATGTGATTTTCTATATGCAGCTCTCTGGGATCCTTATGTATGATTTTAGTGGTCTCAGCTTCTATTTGAGTTTGACACCACTGGCACTGAAACGTTAAGTGATTTGCCCAAGCTCACACAATGAATATGTGTCAGAGATAGGACTTATAGGTTTTAAGGCCAGTTCTATCCATTATCCATTGTCAGGGGAACTAGGTAGTGCAGTAGATAGAGAGCCAGGCCTGAAGTCAGGAAGTCTCCTCTTCCTGAGTTCAAATCTGGCCTCACATACTTACTAGCTGTGTGATCCTGGGTAAGTCACTTAACCCTGTTTGCCTCAGTTTTCTCATCTGTAAAATGAGCTGGAGAAGGAAATGGCACACTACTCCAGTATCTTTGCCAAATGGAAAAAAAAACCTAAATGGGGTCACGAAGAGTTGGACACAACTGAAAAATGACTAAACAACAAATCTGTCCATTATGCCCATTGCCTCTTGTGATGAGAATTTTGTCAAATTCTTTGCTGAAATCAAGATATACAATGTCTACAGTATTTCCCTGCTACCTAACGACCCTGTCAAAAGAGTTAAGGAGGTTAATTATTTAGTCTTGAAGCCATAGCAGCTTTTAATGATCACAATTTCCTTTTCTAAAGACTCCCTTTACTAATACATTCTAGTTTTTGCCAGGAATTGAAGTCAAACTCAGTGGTTTATAGGTTAAAGACTCTACTCTCTTCCCTGTCTTGAACATGGGAATACCAGTCAAACATTTTTCCAAATATCACTGACAGCAGCTCTGCCATTACATTTGTAAGTATTTTCAGTACCCTCAAATGTAGCTTATTCCAGCCTGGTAACTTGAATTCACTGAAGATAGATTTCTCCTTATTCAACAAATTAAAGCAACAAACAAATAAATATCTGTTATGAAGAAGTCACTGGGCATAAGAACAAAAATAAGTATATTAGAGGGACAACATGATAAAGTGGAAGTTAGAAGGATCTGATTTTAAATCCTATTTCTAAAACTTACTAGTTGTATGATAATAGGCACATGGCTTAAAATCTGTGAACTTCTACATCAATCTCTTTAGTTAGTCAACATATTATGCTAACCTTAGGCTTCTTGCCTACAGTCAGAAGAAGTTTCAATGATCTTCACTTTGTGCGAATATTTGTACCTTTAGACCTCCCTGACCAGGCTTTACAGGGATCAAATTTTCTGGGTCTCCTCTCTATCCTTCTCTCACGGGTAGACCAGGGGTGGCCATACGTGGCCTCAAGGCCAACGGTTCCCATCCTTGATCCAGACTCTAAGGGGTATTGATACTATCCTTTGACTTTTTCCTCTACAGCCCCAGTTGCTAAAAGGGGCCTCTCAGGAATTTGCTGTTAGGCACTTACTCATCCCCATCCAGCCCTGACACTCAACTGGGTTAAAAGTTTTTTGTTTGTTTTTTTTTTAACACCACTTCCCCACCTGATAAGTAGGGGTAGACAGCTTATGTTCTCACTCTATTTACACCTTACTAAGATACTAAGGATAAACACATGGGCCTCTTTCATTCACTGGTCTATATAATGCTATAACGCTCTACCTTTCATATTGTCTTGAAACTTTGGTAAGTCTCAAAATATTGACTGGGGAAGAGACACAAAACAGCAAGTCTTCTGAGGGTGTTTTTGCTGCCATAGCAAATATAATTGCTAAATAAGCATCTATGGAGGGTCTTTTATGTATAAGACACATTGGTAGGTGTTAAAAGAGAGATATAAAAAATAAGTAAGACTCAGAGTGAATAGTCAAGCATCATTTTATGGTTGTAAACCTGGGTGATTTGAAGTGCAGCAATACCCTTGACAGAACTAAGAAAGCTAAGGAAATGAGTGGATCTGGAGAAGGGGAAAGAGGAGTTAAGATAATTAAGATGGATAAATAGGCAGAATACAAAGAAATGTGAACAGACCTTTATGAAGTAATGCAAAGCAGAAAAAGCAAAAACAGAATTACTCATTAACTACAACTACCTTAAGAGGAAAACAATGAGAAAGGACAAAGACTCCTGATGAGGACTTAAAGAGAATGAAATTGTCATGATACTTTAGGCATTGAAATTAACTTAAAAGTAGTTATTAAACAAGTTTAGTTAGTTGAATTCATGTTCATTAAGTTTTTAATAAAACATTTTTTTCAAAAAGATTATTCCCTGCCCACTCTTATGTTTGAGCTCTCCTATGGCCTATAATCCATTACTGGGCTTTGGCTGAAACTCTAGGGTCTATGATTATGCTGCTGTCAGCTGAACACAGGACTTAGCAGCACCTACATCAATTTGAAATGACTTTGAGTAGAGGGCAAGCAGTGGACTGAGTCTCTTAGAGGCCTTGCTTAGCTAAAGTTTGCAGAGTCTTTTTACTTTTTCAGTTGTGGCAACTCAATAAGGTTATTTCCTAAGGTATAAAAGGGCTGCAGTCTCCACCTGGGGAAGGAGGTGTCCACAATGATTACATTGCAGTAGGGGCACTTATTACATTTTGATGTATATTATAGTCGTTTGTGTATGTGTCTTAACTCTCACTGAACTGTAAACTCATTGAGGGCAGCACCTACCATAGTGCATTGTACAAAGCAGACAATGCATTATAAATTACACTGATAACTGTGGCTGAACAAGGCTGTTCAAAAAATTCCTTTCACTTTATATGTAGTTGATTTTATAAAAAGAGAATATCTAGGCAGGTTTTTCCTCCCTCATGAGCACATTATAAATAGGTTTTAAAAGCAGCCATGCCTAAAATTATATTTTAAAGAGAAAGGAAAGAAAACATTAAAGAAAGAAGTAGTGACATTTCAGACAGATCTTGGAAGGGGACACAGAACAAAAGGAGTTTTTGTTTTTGTTCATTTATTCTATTATTTTGTATGCTATAGATTTCATGTAAGATTTTCTTCCTTGTTTTGTTTGTGCTTTTTTCAGTGATGGTTATCCATTTACAATTTTCTTAAAAGCAATAATACAAGAAAACAAGCAAACTATTTTGATAATACATTTGAAAATTTTATTTTAAAAATAATTTATACCTACAGAATGGAAGAGTATTACAGTGTTATCCGTAAAAGAAAAGCATACAACCCAAAAGCTATACAATTTGAAATGGTTGTGGAAATCCAGAAGAAAGTGAAGCTTTTACTCTGAATTCTTAGGATTTCACCGGGCATCAAAAACCACCACTGTATTAAAACTGTGTTAAGGACAAAGGAAAAATGCTGAAAATTTATTCTAGTCACTGCAGTTTCAAATTATGTTCTGATGTACCTAAATAATAATAATAATGATATATAGTGCTACAGACAGCTACAAAACACTCAATGATACTCAATAATTGCTTATTTTAAATGCACAAAGATACAATATACTATATATTTGTTATGACAATCTTGGAGATAGTTTAAAAGAAAAATCACTCAAAATTTTATTCAATCCCCTTTTCTATTTAGAGAGTCAAAGACATGCATATGATATTATTAAACCCTTCTCTCATATACATATGAAGTAACAATGAGGGTAATAGCTTTGTAGTATTTTTTTCTTTATTACTGACTACCAATATGACCTTTTAATAAGAGTCTTGGGAGCCAGTTCAATTTGAATTGGTGAGGCAAAACATCACGTCCATGTTTATACGAAATACTTAAATTCCAACTTCTATAACTGAGCAGTTTTGCCCACTAAGTAAATGACAATTACAAAAATACTGAAAATATCCAGCAAGCTTAACATAATGGCTTTCAGGATTATTCTAGGATATACATTTTGAGTAATTCATATTGGAACAACATAAATGCTAATATTCCTAAAAATTATTTTTTTCATGAGTTAAATCATTCTTTCTGTTGGTGAATGCCCTTCAATATCAATTCAAACACTCTTTTTACCCACATCTTATTATCATACTTACCCACTTCTTATTATCATACTTAGTCACCTCTTATCATCATACTTAGAAAGCAAAGGTGAAAGGATACATCTTTTTGTTCTTTTCTTGTACATTATTCTATATCCGCATTCTCTACATCTGATTGGATCCCTGGATTTTATTTCATTTTCTGTATGACATTCTGAAAAGGTAAACATTTTTTTACTTAAAGTCCCCTGCCACTCAGGAACATTAATATTCCCAATAACTGCTTAGTTGTTATTCTAATTGTATAATCAGACCTAGACAATTTTAGAAATAAATGGGGATCATTTAGGTCAATACTTTCATTTTCTAGATGAAAATACTAAAGCCCAGAGAAGTCACGTGTGTTGTCTAAACCAGTGATGTCAAACTCAACCACTAAACCATATATAAGGATCTCTATGGGCTACATCATTGACTAAGAAAACCACATATTAATGTTATCTATTGAGTTTTTATTCCAATTACATTTTAATCCGATTAGGACAACATGGGAACACTGCTAACCACAGAATAGTCTGACAGTTCTGGCCTAAACTATCCAATAGATAAATTTAACATCAGCTACTGAATTAGAATCTAGATCTCCAGACCCCTAGCACCATGTATTTTCTATTATTACACACTGAATAGACATATGAACAACTCTTTACACCTATTAACCAACAATAAATTCACATTTAGTGTTTTAAGGTTTATAAATTGTTTTCCCCCCTCACAATAACCCAATAAGTCTATTTTTATTAACACCATTTTAATAAGGTAAAGGATCTACTTTAAGAAGTTGTGACTTTTAAACAGGGTCATATAACTAGTAAATTTTGAATCCAAAGATCAACTACCCTGGGTTCAAATTGTACCTCTGCCACTTATACTGGGTGAACTTGCGATTAACCCCTTTGGGCCTTAGATTCCTTAGCTGTAAAAAGAAAGGGGAGAGCAAGATGACTTTTTAAAAATTTTTTTTTAGCAAGATGACTTTTGAGGTCCCTTCTAGCTCTATGATCGATGAATTTATGAACTCAAAATATACCGCTGAATGCTAAGCTCATGTGTTGTCTATTACCAGGTAGTTACAGGTAAGTGATAGGATTTTATTCTGTAAAGGAAAGAACACCGGTCTTAGAGTCAAGAGGTGGAACCTAACCCTAGTCAATGAAACCTTAAGGACCAACTGTGTTCAGGCAATGTACTAGGCTCAACAGATTAAAAAAAAAAGTCTTGGCCCTCAAGGAACTTAACATTTTATTGAGAGAAATAACATGTTCACATATGAATTTATACAGTATAAATTCAAGGTATGGGAGGCGGAGAGAGGAGAGTTGTAGCATGTGAAGAGTGGGATTAGGGAAGGATTGAGGAGCTGAGTTTTGAAGGGAACAAGAGATTCTACAAGGTGGAGGTGAGGAGGCAACGGATGCACTCTAGGCATGAGGAACAAAAAGTACAATGGAACAGAGATGAGCCAGGAGTATCCTGAGTTTGGCTGAACCTTAGGGAACAAGAAGGGGAGTAATACATAAGGTTGGAAAGATAAGTTGAGGCCAGCTTGCAAAGGCTTTAAATGCTAAGCAGAATTGTTTATGTTTGATCCTCGTGGCAAATAGAGAGCTACTTCCTTCCCTCTCATTCTCTTCTGAACTCTGTACTGTTTGGCTTCCAACCTCATCATTCACCTAAAAAAGGTCTTTGCAAAGTTACTCATGATCTCGTCTTAGTTGCAAAATCTACTGGCCTTTTCTCAATCCTCATCCTTCTTAGTATCTTCTCAACCTTTGACTCTGTCAATCATCCTCTTCTCCTTGATATTTTCTTCCTTCTAGGTTTACATTACTGACTCCTGGTTCTCCTACCTACCAGACTGCTCTTTCTCCCTTCTCTGCCTTTGCTAGATCTTTATCCAGATCTTTATCCACTAATCATGGGTGCCTCATTGGGATCTGTTCTCAGCTCTTTTCTCCCTCTATACTATTTCACTTGGTGATCTCATCAGCTCCTATGAATTCAATTATCACTTCTCAATCTATTTATCTGGCCCTAACCTGACACCCATCTCCAAATGCTTATTGGACATCCAGAACCAGATGTCCTGTAGACATTTTAAATTCAATATATACAAAACTGATTTCTTTCTCTTTCTTATCAAACCTTCCTCTCTTCCTAATTTCCCTATTATAATGTTGAGAGTACCATCACCCACTCAGGCTCACAATCTAGGTGTCATCCTTTCTTCACTCTCTCATGTCCCATAACCAATCTGTGGTCAAGGCCTGTTTTACATTCATGACATCTCTCTCTAACCCTGTCACCACCCTGTTGCAGGATCTCATTGCTTCACACCAGCACTATGGCAATAGGCTGCTGGTTGGTCTCTGTAAACCAAGTCTCTCCACACTCCAGACCATTCTCCACTCATATATCAAAGGGATCTTCCTAAAGCCCCTATTCAACAGATTCCAGTGGTTCCCCATCACTTCCCAGGATCAAATATAAAATCCTCTGTTTGGTGTTCAAAGACCTTCATAACCTTTCCCCTCATCTCTCTGGGCTTCTCATATTTTATATTATCCAGCCCTTCCCCTCCCCCAATACTCTACAATCCAAAGACATTGATCTTTTTGCTGTTCCAGTCACATGACACTCCAGGTATTTTTACTGGCTGTCGTCCACGTCTGGAATTCTCTCCCTCATCTCCACCCATGAAGGCCCAGCTAAAATCTCACCTCCAGCTAAAATCTCACCTCCTCCAGGAAGACTTTCCCAAACTTCTTTAATCCTAGTGCTGTCCTCTGTGGATTATCTCCAACTTATCATGTTTATATGCAGTTGTTTGCATGTTATTTCTGCCATTAGAAGGTAAGCTCCATGAGAGCAGGGACTATCTTTTGCATTTCTTTGTATGTCCAGTGCTTTGCACAGCCTCTGACACATAGTAGGCACTTAATAAATGTTTACTGACTGACCCTTGGAATTTACTGAATTGAGCAGTGACACAGGTCAGTCTTATCGTTTAGAAAAATGGCTATCCCAGAGACATCTTAAACTCAACATGTGTAAAACTGAACTTATTATCTTTCCCTCGTCCCAAACTTCCCTATTCTGTCAGAGACACCCCCATCCTTCCAGTGCCTCAGATTCATAATTTGGCCATTCTCCTTTGCTCCTCAATCTCCCCTCACCTCATACATTCAATCATCTGCCACATTTCGCAGTTTCTACCTTTATAACCTCTCTCACATACAACCTCTTCTTTCTACTCCAGCTGAGACAGTCACCACTTCTCACTCTGATTCCAGAAACAGTCTTACAATTGGTCTTCATGATCCAAGTTTCTACATACTGCAGTCCATCCTACACACTGTTGATGCCAAGGTGACTTTCCTTAAACACAGATCTAATCACGTGACTCCTCAACTCAACCAACTCTAGTGGTTTCCTATTGGCTCTAGAATAAAATGTAAACTCTTGTTTAGCTTTTAAAACCCTATACAACCTGATTCCACCCTAGCTTTCTAGCCTAATTTGACTTTATCCCTCATCACAAACACTGCAATCCAGCCAAAGGAGGCCTTCTTGCAGTTTCTCAAACACAATACTCCATTTCCCAACTCTATCCTTTGGATAGGCCACTGGCCCCCATGCCTGGAATTCACTCCCCCCTTACTTGTTTCTTTAAGATACAGTTGATACACCATCTTCTACAAGCCTTTCCTGATCTCCCTCAACTGCTAGTATCCTCCTCCTCCCAAACTATTCTGTATTTAACTACTTTGTGTGTATTTATTAACTTTTTATTTGTACTGTATATATTTTTATATGGAAGGAGAAGGCTGGTGCAAGCATTTATTAAGCACTAACTCTGTGATACGAACTGTGCTAAGCATCTTACAAATACTTCATTTTAACCTTGCAACAACCCCATGAGGTAGGTGTTATTATTATCCCCATCATACAGTTGAGGAAACAGAGTCAGACAGAGATTAAGTGACTTGCCCAGAATCACATAACTGGTAAGTGTCTGAGGCAATATTTGAATTCAGGTCTTCCTGACTGAGATCTAGAGCTTTATCCACTATACCTAGATGCTTATCTACACTTGTCTTCTCCATTAGCATACAAGCTTATTATGGGGACCATTTCATTCTTAGTACTTGTATGCTTAGCACCTAGAACAGTACCTGGCATGTTATAAGTAGTAAATGAATACTTGCTGATGGAAAAATCCTAGAAAAAGCTGTCTATCCCATTGTCTCAAACTGCTTTCTCCTCTCTTTTTAACCCTTTGTAGTCTGGCTTCCAGACTTCCTCACAACTGAAACTGTTCTCTCCACAGATACCAATTATCTCTTAATTGGCAAATCTGATGGACTTTTACCATCCTCACCCTTCTTGATCTCTATTGTAACATCTGACACCACTGAATACTCTTCCCTCCATCAATCATCATGCATTCCTTAAGTTCTACTCATCAGGCACTACATTAATTGCTGGATCTTCCTATCGACTCTGTCTTCTTTGGGTTTTTGTGACACTGCTCCCTCTTGCTTCTCCTACCTAACAGTTCCTCTGTCTCCTTTGCTGTTTCAATGTCTATATCCTACTCCCTAAAAGTGTACCCCAAGGCTCTGTCCTGGGGCCTCTCCTCTGTCTACACTCTCTCACTTGGTGACATACATGATCAGCTCACATGGATTCAATTGTCATCTCGAAGCAAATCGACTGCCAGAGCTATATATTCAGTCCTAGTCTTTCTTCTGAGCTCCAGCATCTTACCAATTAATTGCCCATTAGACATTTCCAAAGGAGTTGTCCTATAAGCACCTCAAACTGCCAAAACAGAACTCCAATAGAAAACAGAACACCCCAAATTGAATTCATCTCCTCCCTTCCTGACCCCACCCCCATAAAAAAACAAACAAAACAAAACAGAAGATCATTCTTCCTAACTTCTCTATTTGTGTCAAGGGTACATTACCCTTTCACTCAGGTTCAAAAACTCTGCATTATCCTTAATCCCCTACTCTCCCTTACCCCACATATCCCATTTGTAGACAAAATCTTTCTACCTCCACAAAGTCTAACATCATGTGGTCTCCACCCTGGTTCAGATCTTTATCAGCTCTTGCCTGGGTTATTGGAATACCTTCATATTTGGCCTTGTCTCTCCCTTTCCTACTCCATCCTCTACAGAGTTCCCAACAAGCTGCAGTATCCTCAGGTACTATTACAGACAGGGGACATACTTTTTACCCCAAGAACAAGTTAAGTACTATTAACCACCCCTCCTTTGTTGTAGCAGAAAGAACAAGGTTTTGGAGTCAGAAGACTTAGAGTCAAATCCCAGCACCATCACATACTATGAGACCTTGGACTCCAGTTTTACCTCACATCTTGAAGTCTCAGGTTCCTTATTTACAAAACAGCATTTGTTGAAAAGCACTTTGCAAAACTTAAAGCTCTGTTATTAATTGCATTCTTTTATGCCTTCTCATGTGCAAAGTTATGCTATTCACTAAGATACTAGCTATGTGCAAAGATACTATAATTCTAAAATACCTAAGTTAATTATGCAATTTATGGTTTATTTTGTTCCCCTGATTCTTCTTGCTGCCATATTTTTCTGCCTTTAATTAGTGAAGCTGGGTGGGAACAGAGAGAATAAACACAAGAAAATTATTTTTTGCTAGTTGGCACATCGGATAGAGTGATGGGCCTCAAGTCAGGAAGCTCTGAGTTCAGATCCAGCTTCAGACACTCACTGGCAGTGCCACCCTGGGCAAATCACTTAACCTGTTTGTCTCAGTTTCCTCATCTGTAAAGCACACATAATAACTGCACCTACCTGTCAGGGGTGTAGTGAGGATCAAATGTGATTACATAAGTAAAGCGTTTAGCATAGTGCCTGGCGTACAGTAGGCGCTAAATATATGTTTTGTTACTGTTATTACTGTTGTTATGTGCCTTCCATGTACCAGGCAGTCACTGTAATACGCAATGAGGACACAAATATAAAAAAAAGAAAGCCATTGCCTGGCACACAGGAAGCACTACATAAATGTCAGCTATTATTATTAGTTGTTGACAGATCTGTAAGAAGTTTAGTTACCAAAAAAAAGTTAAAACTACTGGTTAACAGGAAAGCTATTGTTGACTATAGACAATCTATCTGTAAAGGCTGTATTCTGAAAGAGTAATCCGTCCATCAAAATTTACTTTAAACAACGAGAAAGGAGAATATATTTTCGAAACACTTAAACGCGGTATTATTTTTCAAAAGCGACTCTCACCTCCACAGATATATATCATTGGCTGCTGTTTTGGCGGCTGCACATCCTTCTGGGTATCCATCGTCAGTTCCTAAAAATCACAGGCGGGAATATTTTCTCAAACCAAAGAGGCCCCCAAACTGACTCAAGAGCCTGCATTCCCCCTCACCCCCAAACTACGTGGGTCGCGGACATGAGAGTCCTGCTCCGACATCTGCAAGGACGGTTCAGGTCCACAGAAGGCGGTTTTCCCCAATCCCGCCTCCTCGCCCGGGCAGACACTGCGAGGGCAGCGACCCAGCCCGGGCACACAAGAGCGACAAGCCTGGGGTCGGCCAACACGGCCTGGTGGGAGAAAGGGCCCCCTCCTGACTGACCAACCGCGGCACCCCTCCACCTTCCCCCTTTCAAGCCCCGCCGTCCCCACCTCTCAACTGTTCCTAAAATCTTGCTGGAACGCTGTCAACCCGCTGGAGGCCTGCGTACCTCACACGCCCGCAGTCCGGAGCGTCGCTGCCCCTTGAATAACAGCCAGAGATCTACTTCCGGCGTTTCATGATGACGCAATACTCGCAACAACCCCGCCCCTTCTGCCTCGTGCATGGACGGAGGAACTGATTGGCTGGGATCAAAAGAAGGCGGGGCGAGGTACGCGGGGCGTGGGAGGGATTGAGTTCGAGCTGTTGGCGGGAGAAGTCCAGCTCTCGAGGGGCAGAGTTGGAGGCTACTGGGTTGTTATTTCCCCGTATGTTCCTAATTCTGGAGACCAGGTGGAGGGTAACCGACAGGTCTCAAACCCATTGATGGGTTAGGAGGATGTCTACCCCAAGCATGTGAAGACTTCCGCTGGCCGAATGGGCAGATGACAACAACAACCGCCCATTTGTTGGGAACGTCATAAAGGTGGCTGAAGCAAGTGGAGCGCTTAGAACTTGGTCAGGCATGGAAGGTCATCCACTGCATCCGGGGACATCAGCAGTCTTCTTGACTTCTCACCACTAGATTTTGATGACTCAGGAAGATAAAGTGAAGCTGACAGCTTTGCCTTACTTAAATTTAATTCACGTGCAAGTCTCCTGATATCATTGGTCCTCTGGAAATGAGGAAAGAGCAACAAGTGTTTGAGACAATATTTGAACTCAAGTCATGTTGACTCCAAGTCTAGTATTCTTATCCTAGGACAAGCAACATAATTCATCATATTAAAAACAGACCACTTGGCAGATTTAACTAATCAACAGACATTTATTAAAGCACCTATACAGAGAGGAAAGATGGCTTGGAATGGCTTCTGTGGGCAATGGATCAAACAACATTTAGAGGGGAGTAAAAGGATTATCATGCTAGGTTGAAATTAAATAATGTGATTATTCATATTAGACCCAATCAGCTTTGTTAGCAGGGCATGAGTTGAAACAGAAGAGACCAGTGGTGGAAGACAGTATCGAGTAAAACTGGTTAATTATAGGGTTGAGATTGGGAATGGAGGAAAATAAGGTTACAGCAGGGGAGATGGCTTTGGAGAGCACAGAAGGATGGAAGGAAGGCATAAGGAGAGATGGAATGATAGGAGTTTATGATCTGATAAAGGGATTTTGGAGGTTAAACAAATTACAGAAGTAGAACACTTGAAGGTGATGGCAAGGTCGAAGATGTGATCATCCCTCTGTACAGCTGAGGTAGAGGGGAGGAGTAAGTCATGGAAATTGAGGGGATTGAAGAACTGGGAATTTAGGATGTTTGAGAGGATAGCATGTGTCTATTGTATAAGGGCAGGAGTTGAGAAAGATAGAAATATTATGACAATGGCTAACTAATAGTAGGATTGGGCAATTAATTTCAATGGAGTGAACCTAAGAGGAGGAGAGGTTTTTGAATGGAGACAAAGGGAATGAGTGGAAGTGGCAATGTGGAGCAAGGAATATTCCTTGGAATATCCCTTCTAGGACTAATATATCTGCTGAATGAGAGAAAGGAGGGAGTGAGACATGTTGTCTGTCCTTTGTGTTTTTTTTTCCTGAAGAGGACCAATATCATGGGGTGATGTCTTGACTTGAGCTTGAATTGGATGTAAGTGAGCCTCATTCTCTCTTCCAGATTCATTAAAGTCCAATGACAAGACAAAAGTCAGGATGACTGCTGATGGCCCAGAATGCAGTGGATGACCTTGACAACTTCAATGCCTGATCAAGCTCTAAGTACTCCATGGTACCTGCTTCAGCCACCTTCATGGCTGTTGGAACAAATTGTTCCCATCTACCCATTCTGCCAGGGAAGTCTTCACATACTTGGGGTTGACACCCCCCTGACTCACCAATGGATTTGAGTCCTGTTGGTTACCCTCAACCAAGATGGTTTTTCCAAGGTGTGGATAGTGGGCATGCTTCAGCTTCTTGGAGCCACAGGTGTGAGTTGAGTACCAGGCAGATGACCAAAGGTGGATAAGCAGCCCTGAAAAGGTGGGGTATGATAAAAGTGCATGAAGATGAGAGCATGTGAAGGGGCAAACAGGAAAGGTTGTGCCTTATACTTAGGCAGCCAAGAAAAGGTAGGGTGTTTGTTAGTAAAAAGGATTCATTCTGGACATAGGGCACTGGCAACACTGAAAACTCAGCCTTTGAGGTAGGTGATGTTCTTCTCTGCCTTCATTCCTAGGCTCCTCTTTGAGGTGTGGGGGTGGGAGAGAGGAGAAAGAAGACTCTAAGCAGCTTGGTTTTACTAGTTTGGGGAGGTGGGAGGTAGGGAGGGGAACTCCAATTGCTATGCCCTCAATCTAAATCAATACTGCTCTTATTAACCTTCTTGTCTGGCTGATAGGGTCTTAACTCAGAACTTGATAAATTTGAGAAAATACCTACCCTGAATTTTCACACATGTTCTGGTGCTCAGGAAGCACCTGTTTTTATTTCAGATAGATTCATAAAATATTTTCTCCCTAGACAGGTGTTATTGAGGACTGTGATAGAGCCAGTTTTTTAAGCACCTATGTGTGCCAGTTGCTGTGCTAAGCTCTAGGGTTACAAAGAAAGGACAAATCAGGAGCTCACTATCTAATGAAGGAGATACCATGAAAACAACTATATACAAACAAGATATACAGGGGTTATGTTGGAGATAATTTTAGTGGCAAGATGCTAACATTAAGGAGAACTTGGAAAAGCTTTTTTTTTTGGCAGAACATGGGACTTCAGCTGAGACTTGAAGCTAGAAGGTGGAGATGAGGAGGGAGAAAATGCCAGGCATCGGGGAGCCATATGAAAATTCCCAGAGTCAGGGGATGGGGTGTCATGTGCCTAGAACTGCCAGGAGGCCAGTGTCACTGAATCTCAGAGCACTCAGAGGGGAATAAGGTATAAAAAGACTGGAAAGGTAGGAAGGAGCTCGGTTAAGAAGTGCTTTAAAAGCCAAACAAAGGATTTTGTATTTGATCCTGGAGGTACTAGGGAGTCAGTAGAGTTAATGAATAGAGGGGTAACCTGTGCTTCAGAAAGATGAACTTGACATCGGAGTGGAGGATAGACTGAAGTGCAGACAGACTTGATGCAGGGAGACCAACCAGCAGACTGTTGCAGTAGTCCAGGCATGAGTTGATGAGAGCCGTGGTGGGAGTGTCAGGAGAAAAGGTGGATATAAGAGAGATGCTGCAAAGAGATGTAGGAGATATCTAAAAATAATAGAACTTAACAACTGAATGGCCATGAGAGGTGAGAGAGAATGAAGAAGAGACCTGGGTTAGGAGACATGGGTGACTGGGAGGATGGTAGTGCCTTCAGCAGTAATAGAGAAGCCCTTTTCAGGGCTGCTCATCCACTTTTGGTGTCTGCCTGGCACTCAACTCACACCTGTGGCTCCAAGAAGCTGAAGCACGTCCACTGGCCACACCTCAGCAAAACCATCTTGGTTGAGGGTAACCAACAGGACTCAAACCCATTGGTGAGTTAGGGCAGTGTCAACCCCATGTATGTGAAGGCTTCCCCTGGAAGAATGGGTGGATGGGAACAATTTGTTCCAACAACCATGAAGGTGGCTGAAGTAGGTGCTGCAGAGTACTTAGAGCTTGATCAGGCATTGAAGATGTCAAGGTCATCCACTGCATCCTGGGCCATCAGCAGTCATCCTGACTTTTGTCTTGCCATTGGACTTTGATGAATCTGGAAGAGAGAATGAGGCTGACTGTGCCTTACTTACATCCAATTCAAGCTCAAGTCATGACATCGATGTCATTGGTTCTCTTTGAAAAAGAAAGCCAAAAAACAACAATAGAGAAATTAGGAAGAGGGACTAGGTTAGATTTTTGTTTTGTTTTGTTTTGATTGTTTTGGGGTTTTTTTGGTTGGGGAGAGGGGCAGAGATAATGAGTTCAGTTTTAGAGAAGTTTAAAAAGTCTACAGAATATCCAATTTAAGATGTCAAATAGGCATTTGGAGAAGAGACCAGGAGACAGGTTAGGGCTAGACAGATAAATCTGAGAATCATCTGCATAGAGATAATAATTGAATCTAAGAGAGCTGATGAGATTACCAAGTGAAATAGTTTAGAGGGAAAAGAAGGCTTAGGACAGAGCCTCGGGGGAGACTCCACAGTTAGTAGTCATGATCTGGATGAAGATACAACAAAGGAGACTGAAGAGAGGTCCATCAGTTAGAATGAAAACCGGAAGAGAGCAGTGTCATGAAAACCCCCGAGAGAACAGGGCCAGAGTTAAAAATTAAAGAGGCTATGGCAAAAGGGTAGGAGATGCCTCACATAGCCCTAATAGGAAGAAAAAAAAGCCCACCACTACAGGACCCTGAGATTAAAGGGGATCTTAGTTTTAGATCTGCAAATGACCTAAGAAAGCATTTGGATTAACTCCACCCTTCAGGACCAGAGGATGAAAGAACAGGATGTAGAAAGGCTGTTTAAGATCATCTAGTACAAATCCCTCATTTTATAGTTGAGGAAGCTTAAACTCAGACATATGATGTAATTTGGCCAAAGTTGAATGGGGAATAGTATCAAAGCCAGGTTTTGAAGCCAAACTCTGACTCCAAATCCAGAACTCCTTCCGCTGAACCCTGACTTGCTCTAAGTCTTACCAGTCCTAATAATTGGCAGAATTAGGACTTGAATCCAGAACTTCTGACTCCAGATTAGGGTCCTTTCCATGATCTATTGCTGTCTCACCCAAAAGGCTGCATATGCTTACTGAGTACCTTTGGTGTGCAAGGAATTGTGTTAGGTATTAGGCATATGACACATTAAATTTCATTTGGGGAGACATCATACACACACACACACACACACACACACACACACACACACACACACACAGAGTTAAATACAAGGTACCACGTGGTGAGTACCAAAGGAATGAATAGACAAAACATGCTGTGGGAGATTCCATGTAAGAAAAAGCAGAAAAGGAAGACGCTGTGTGGGGTGAAGGTATAACAATGAGGGCGGGGTATAGTAGGGATGGATACATTAAAAGCTGATATTTGGTGAAAATAAATGCACACAATTATCTTTCTAAATTTGTTCTTTAAACGAAGATGTGGAAAGCTGGAAGAAGAATAAGAAACTCCTCCAAGTTAGCTTGTTCCTCCTAGCTTCTTGATTTGTGGCCACTAGCACAAGACTGGGATGGGGAAAGACAATGATAGGGGGGAGGGGGGAGGGGGGAGCTGGGGGGGTGTAGTTTCCATTCCATATTCCTCCCCAAAACGGTCCCTAACGTCTGGAGTGGGGCAGGTTCCTGGGACAGCCAGAGGGCAGCGCAGAAGAGGAGAGTGGGACAGGACGGGGGCAGGGAAGGAAAAAAAAAAGAGGGAAGGGGAGGAGAAGGGAAGAGAAGAGAAAGGAGGAGAGGGAGAGGGGGAGGGGCCGCAGCTAGCGGTTATTCAGGGCGGGCAGTTCAAATCCAAGAGAGGGAAAGCAGTGGCGGCCCCACGCTACCTGGGATTGGGGGTTGCCATAGCCAGAGCATCCCTGGGGCGGAAGCGGGTGGCTCTGCCCCTTCCACACCCTTCCCCACCACTCCCTTCTCCCCGCCCCCTTCTCCCTTTCCCTCTTGCCTCCCTCCCAAGCTCAGCAGCTTCAGCTGCTGCCATTCATCCATCCCAGAGGAGGCAGGAGGAGTCTGCTCTGGGCTTTGTAGTCTCTAGCTGGACGGGGGCGGGGGACCCCAGGCTGCTGGGGCTGCTGCAGGGGAGCAGAATCCCTGGGAGTCCCCCTCCCCGCCCCCAGTTTGTTTTCCAGGTGCTGGAAAAGAGTGAGATGCGTTGAAGTTACCTGCTGCCTCCTGCCTCCTCTTTTCTCCCTCCACTGCAGGTGACTATACCCTCATAATTGTATATATCTCTCTCCCTCCCTGTGCCTCCCTGGCTTTCAGGGTCCTGAGGAAAAAAACACCAAACTACTTCGCTTTAATAGCTGGAAATCCAACCTTAACTTTCCAAACTAAGCGGGGAGGGACAGGAGGAAGTAAGAGGAGGGAAATTAATTAAAATAAGGAAAACTAGTGATGATTTAGGAGAAGCTAGGTTATCACCTATCCCCACTACCATATACCTTCCTCCAAGGGCAAGGAATTTATAGAACTCTGGTAGCCCTCCTCTTCTTGAGAAACCCAATTAAGGAGTTTATTCATAACATTCAGCAGTGTAAGCGAGAGAAAAGAAGATTAATATTTTTGTTGTATGAAAGCGTGAAGAACGGTCCAAAATACTTTGTTTTTTAAATGTAGTGATCATAGGTTCATAAATTTAGAGTTGCATCACAGCATTTATATTCCACACCCTTCAGATTTTAGTACTTGAGAGGCTTATGATTATACTAAGCACAGTGTCTGGCTCAGTAAGCATTCTTATTTACTGTTTTTCAGTTCATCCCAAAGTTTTTTTTTTCTTTAATTTGATCTACACAGAGATGTTGAGGTTTCCTTTGCCCCACCCAACCCCATTGATTGTTCATAGAACAGGATACTTATTTATGGTTTAATTAGATTTTTTCTGCATTTGCAAAATTAATATAGTCTAGGGATTTCAAAGTTTATCTGATGGTAGCTATCCTAGTTTTACAAATAGAGGAAATTTGGTTTCAGTATAGTTTGATTGTATTTCTTTCATTTCAATTAAAATATCTGCTAAGCATCTCTTTAGAGTAGAAGACTGTTTTTTTTTTTCCTTTTACGGAGGGGTCTGGATAATTATTGTAGTAATGTCAATTGATTTATCAAGAATCTGTTACTACCTAAATGTATAATTTCTTAATTTCAATAGTTTATACCTGGAGGGGACTTCTGAGGTCATCTCCAAATAATATCAATGTGACTATTCCAAGAAAAAAAACCTTTTTCAAATTACGTTGCAGAGGGATGAAATTAATACTTGAAAATCGAACCAAGAAATAAAAAGAAAGTGTTAGGTGAGAGCATAAACACTAGAGGGGGCAGATATTTTACCTTTTTTGGGTCACCAATTCCTCTGACAGTCTGGTGAAGCCTATGAAACCCTTAGTTATAAAAAGAGTTTAGAAATGCTTGAACTTGGGTAGTTTTCAGGCTTTGTGGAAATGCCATCTTCCTCTTATATTTTGCTAGTCTTTGCTCCTTGTTTCTGGTTTTGAATTTTCCTCTCTGTAAAAACAAACAATTCAGTATAGTCTTTTGTCTCATTGCTGTTCAATTCTGCCTTCTCAGAAAAGCTCTTGAGACATCTAGTGGTGAACTAACTGAATAGTTAGTTGTTTCCTAGTCCCATTTTTATATATATGTAATAGTTGTATGATATGACTAAATGGCTTTAGTAAAAATTATAGCTTAATACTTTAAAAATAAGTCTCATAAATATTATGTCCTAATGAGATATACTATAATATGTAAATTTCCCACCAACCACATGTGAATTTATCAGTTCCATTAGCCCAGTTGGTTACTATCATATAAAATATTTACATAAATGATATTCTCTGACTAGCCAGCCAATCAATAAATATTTATTAAATGCTTCCTATGTGCAGGCACTCTGCTAAGTGATAGGGATATGAAAAAGAGTCAAAAGACAACCCCTGCCTTCAAGGATCTTATGATCTACAGAATTTCTAAAATTTCTGATGATATCAAAAATAACAAAACATTTGCTACAGAGAAGACTCAACTAGCCTCCTTGTCCAGAAGCTTCTTTACAGAAGATGTTTAACTTAGGGAGGGATCTCAGAAGGCATCTAAGCCAATATTCCTTTCCATGTTGTAGGTAGAATTGTGTAATGAAATGAATTCTAAGTTTGGAGTCAGACAACCAGGGCTCAAATCCTTGCTTTTCTTCTTACTGCTATATAACCAATCAATAAACATTTTTAAGCCTTTTCTATGTACCAGGCACTGTGCTGAGCACTACGGATATAAATATGAAAAAAGAAAGCACTTGCCCTCAAGGATCTTACAAGAAGCTGAAAAGCTAGGAGAGGAGATGGGAAGGAGAAGGAAAAGGTCCCCCACTTGACAGCATAGTGAAGTCAGTCAAAGAAATCCCACAGTAGCACAGACAGGTGAGAAATGAGGAGATTTCTGAGTTGAGCTCTCTCCTTCAATGGAGGTTTGAAGTTCGTAACTCCATGATCCAATGCAAGAGATACAGAAGGTCGATATGAACGTATCGAGGCTAATGAGATCTTACAGGATAATGAACTTACTGGGCCAGAGAAGCCAGTCAGAGAAGTCCCAAAGTATTCCAGGTAGGTGAGGTGATCATAGGTAAATCACTCCCTTTCTCTGACCCCCAGTTTCCTCATCTGTAAAATAAGGAAATATTGGAGTGGGTGATTTTTTTAGGTCCCTTTTAGCTCTAAATCCATGATCTGTAACCCTCATGGAAAATCCACTATCTAGCATCCCTACCTTGGGGTTGTAAAGTATCAACTTGACTTCCTACAGTGATGGGAAACCCATGACCTGTCAAGGCAGTTTGTTTGAGATTGAACAGCTTTAAATGCTAGTTTTTCTCTTATATTGAGCTGAAATCTGTGTTTCTGAGGATAGGCTTAGAGCTTAGGGATCTTCTAGCCTACGGGCTTTTAATCTTTTGTGTGTGTCATGGATCACTTTTGGCAGTCTGGTAAGATGAATGCACCCCTTCCCAGAATAATATATTTAAATATATAAAATAAAATATATAAGGTTGTGAAGGAAATAAAATACATTGAAATACAGTTACCAAAATATGAAAAGAAGTTTATAGATCCCAAGTTAAGAATCCCTGATATAGTTCATCCCCCTTATTTTACAGGTGAAGAAACTGATGCCCCAACAACGGAAGTGATTTGCCCAAGATCATACAGGTAGTAAGTATCCCAGGATCTCCAAATTGGAAGTGCCCTTAGAGGCCATCTTCTCTAGTCCACACCTGAAGAAGAAAATTCTCTACGCCCTCTCCCAACGTGGTCCTTTAGCCTCAGTGGAAGATCTCTGGTGGTGGAGACCTTGCTGCCCTCTGAAGCAACCATTCCGTTTTCTGATGGTTCTAATTATTGAGACATTTTTCTTCCCATCATGCCTAAATCTACCTCTTTACTGTTTCATTTAGTTCTTCCTTCTTGGGCCAAGCAGAACCAGGCTAATACCTCTTTCATTTGACAGCCCTTCAAATACTTGACAGTCATTGTGTTGCCCCTAACTCTTCTCTTTCTTTTATTTGTGTGGTTTTTTTTAAATTTTCTTTTTTTGGTGAGGCATTGGGGTTAAATGACTTGCCCAGGGTCACACAGCTAGTAAGTAAGTGTCAAGTGTCTGAGGCTGGATTTGAACTCAGGTCCACTTGACTCCAAGGCCAGAGCTCTATCTCTTACACCACCTAGCTGCCCCTAACTCTTCTCTTTCACCTCCAAATCCTCCAAACAACCCTCATGTGGCATAATTTCAAGGTCTTTCACCCTACTAGTTGCCCTTCTCTGCATGCTTTCCAACTCATCAATGTTATTCCTAAAATGTAGTATCTAGAATAGAGCACAATATTGCAGATGTGCTCTGAGCAGGGTAGAGATTGTGTGTGTGTGTGTGTATGTGTGTGTGTGTGTGTGTGTGTGTGTGTGTGCAGATATATGCATATGTATATACTTATATTTGAGTATGATAATATATATATGTGTATGTATGATATTTATAGACTATTGACTATTGAGATTCAACCCAAAGTTCTAGCCTTTGAGATTTTTTTAAACATGTTGACTGTCATCTAATGTGCTGTCTATCCCACCCAATTTTATGCCATCAGCAAATTTTATAGGCATATCCCCTATACCTATCACCTATAAAAATGTTTAAAAATATTGGGCCAAACCCTTATCTTTCAGACACTCTTCCGCAGACCTCTTTCATACTATTAATGGCCATTCTCTGTATCCCTTCACTTAACCATTTAGGAATGTACCAAAGTGTGAACTCATCTAGTCCATGTCCCTCTGTCCTTTCTCTAAGACTAGCATGAAGAACTTTGTCAAATGCTTTGCTGAAATCTAAATAAGCTATCACTACAATATTGTCTTGATCTCTACCTATTTCATAACCCTGTCAAAAAAAAAAGGAAATAAGATTAATTCCTGTTTTGAGGAAGCCATAAAAGCTCTTTGCAATTCCAGATTTTAACTCACCATTGTTTTAATAACACCTCTAGGATTTTGGCAGCAGAGGTCAAGCTCACTGGTCCATGGTTTTCAAATTACACTTTCTTCACTTGTTTGAAAATCACAACTACATTTGCTCTTCTCCAGTTCCAGGACACTCTCCTATTCTTTAAATCTTTCCAAGATCATTGGTCATAAGACTCCACATTGATCACAAGAGTGCACAGTAACCTTGGCTAATTTTTCCAGTTTCCAGGGATGTAGCTCTTCTCGGTCTGGTGACTTGAGTGTATCAAGTGTGACTTCCTGTCCTGTAACTTATCTTGGACATCAGCTCCTGTTTTCCATTTTTGGGGCTTTCTTTTCCAGTCCCCAGATCATTCTCCTTGACAGAGATAATAGAAGCCCAGGAAGAATTGAGTGCCTCTGCCTTCTCTTAGTGTCCTTCTTCATTGTTCTGTCTCCCAGAGCAGTCATCTTACTTCCTATGTCTACTTTTCTACAATATAGCTAAAAACTCTTTTCTGGTGTCTTTAGCTCTTCTCACCTGCCTCAGCTCATTCTGAGTTTTAAGAGCTTCTGAAACTATTCCAACAAAAATATGTGATCCTTTTGCATTCATCCTAGGTTACTTGTCCTTCCCACACACACACACACACACACTCTAAGCCTCAGCTTAGTCATCTATAAAATGAGAATAATAACGCCCATCATACTTCATAGAGTTGTTGTGAGCAACACATGTGACCATGTAAAAAAAGTGCATTGTAAACATTAAAGCACCGTCAGCTATCATCATTCTATTTTCTATACATGTCTTTACATAAAAACAAAATCAGTGAACCAGCAAACATTTATTTAGCGCCCACTGTGTGCCAGGTAACTGTGCTAGGCACCAACGACACCAATACAAAAAAAAAAAATGGAAAAATTCCTGCTCTTGATGAGCCCTTTGCCTATCAAGGAAGTTGTGGACGTACAGAGGGTCCCAAAAGCCTCAGTGAAGAATTGAGCTTTAATAACTTAAAGCAATTTTAATAAATTTAAAATTCTACAGGGGAAGTCAGTCCAGGAAGAATAGGAAACTTACTGGCATGAAGTTCTGTGGCCACAAAGACAAAGAGAATTGTTCCAGTGGGGTGGAAAAGGAATTGCTTAAAGAGACCAATGTGGATGTACAAGGAAATTCACTGCCAATTCAGATTTTTAAAAGACATGTACAGAACACTGACAGGAAACACACAATATGTACGAAGTAAAGGACAGGTGATGTTAGGAAGCTTTAGTGCCTGAGCATCAGAAAAGACTGGGAAGTTGACTGCTAGCACCCATCTTCCTTAACTACCCTATATTTAGCAGTGCTGGAGTGCCAGGCCTGGAGTGAGGAAGACTCATCTTCCTGAGTTCAAATCTGGCCTCAAACACATACTAACTGTCTGACCCTGGGTAAGTCACTTGACCCTGTTTGTCTCAGTTTTCTCATCCGTAAAATGAGCCAGAAAAGGAAATGGCAAACCATTCTAGTATTTTTGCCAAGAAAACTCCAACTGGGGTAACAAAGAGTCAGGACTGAAACAACTGAACAAACAAAACATTTATTTTTGTTATTATGTTGTATGTGCTTATATAAAGCGTATCTCAAAAGTGCTGTTTAAAGTTTTAATAGCTATTATTAGATCTGACTTCCCCTAAAGAATTTTAGTCTATGGGATTCTATCCTTTCTCTGAACTCTTTGAAATCTGCTTTCCTAAAATCTAGGATGCATATTCCTTCTCTATAACAAGTTCTAAGATGGAATGGTCACTTCTCTGACTGGAGCCTATCATTTCTACCATTTCTTCTTTGTTGGCGAGTATCAGATCCAGAAGAGAAGTTCCACTCGTGGTTCTTACACCTTTGGAAGAATGGAATTACCAAATTATCATGAAGGCAAGTCAAGAAGTAATTAGCAGCCCTGCTTGAGAGAGAGAGAGCACTCCAGCAGATCTCAAGATGACTGAAACTTCCGTCCCTGTTATAATCATTTTAACTCTTGTTAGGCTTGGGTTCTGTTTTTCAAACTCCTCTATTCTTCATTTTCCCCAAATTATCTGTAGTATACTCTGACAGAGTATCTGATTCTGCCTCCTTTGATGCTTCATCTAAATAATCCTTTCCACTCTTGTTTCTTGGATTACCTCCCCTGAGCACATCTTCTTACCCATATAATGCTGTTCCTCTGCCTCCCCTGCTCCCTGCACTGTTTAACCTATCTTATTTTACATGGATAAAGTATACACTTTTAGACTCATCTTCCATTCATAGGCCCTATCCCTCCAAGCCTCAGTTATACCTGTGAGGTCACAGAGTTTGCCTCCTTGGGTTAGGATCTCTAACATACATTGCTTGTTACATTTATTTTACACATTTGTATAGATACTGGAGGTTTTATTGCTATATCATTTTTTCTTTTTTTTCATTAAAAATTTTTTTTCTCCTATAAATTTCTGGACATTTTTACTTGTCATGCTTCCTACATTTTATTCTCTTTGGTATCTATTTTGCTTGATATATGTAAATACTTCCCATTACTTCTCTCTGTCTCCCCCCACCCCACCCCACTCTCCTTCATTTTTAGCTTAAGGCCCTTTTGATTAGTACAAGACTCCAGACAAATTATTACCATTCTTTATCAGATATACTATATCCCTGAAAAGGACCCTGACATTCCTATATTTTGAGGTGTGTTCCAGAAATCAAATCCCATTCTCAGACTCTGCTTTCTTCATCAATTTTTCACTTCCTGAATCTTTTTTTTTTTTCCCTTGAAGGCCATGTTTTTGATTGCCAATGGTGATGAAAATACTGCCTGTGCCCTTTGGTTTCCAGTTTCTTGTCTAAAGCTTTAGCATTTAAACTCTTCTAACTCTAAATTTAGTGCCTTTGTGGTAAAATACATGTGTGAAAAGAGGTATAAATAAGAAAGTAAACATACCTTGCTAAATACAGAAAGTAGTGGTTCCCAACTCATGAGCAAAAGACCTGTGGAGGACCATATAAATATTGCAAGTAGTTCACAAATTTATGTCATATATGTTATCAATCAACAGATACTACTAATACAACTACTTTGTGGAGGTACTTGAAATTTTTTGTTGTTAAAAATGTGTCCTCATATTTTAAAAGTTAGAAACCAATGGTACAAAACTCATTGTTTCAACAAACATTTATCAATCAATTATTGTGGCAGGCATGCTGCTAAGCTTTAGGGATACAAAAAGAGGCAAAAAAAAAATCCCTCAAGGAACTCACAATCTAATGGGGGAGAAAATACATACGTACATGCATATATATATATATATATATATATATATATATATGTATATATATATATATATATATATGTATATATATATATATATATGTATGTAAACAAGCTATATACAGGATGAATAGGAAGCAATTAAGAGAGGTAAGGCACTGGAATTAAGAAGTGCTGGGAAAAGGTACCCTTTATTTATTAGATACTGCATGATCCTGGGCCATCACCAGTCGTATTAACTTTTGTCTTGCCACTGGACTCCGGATGACTCTGGAGGAGAGAGGGAGGGTGACTTTGTGCAGGTCTACCTCACTTAAATATAATTCACAAGCAAGTCAAAGACATCACCCCTGTGGTATCATTAGTCCTCCTCTCGAATGAAGGATGAACAACAATGGATGCTGTGTATACAGTGCTGTACTAGGTGATGAAGAAGGATATGGATTTTAAGTAAGATGTAATCTTTGCATTCTGAGAGTTTGCAGTCTAATAGGGAGAGGAGATTCAAATACAGACAACTGTATGAATTACATAAGTAGATCAAAGAATTACAAAGTAAAGTGCTATGAGAAGTCAGGTGGGTGGGGTGAGAAGAAAGAAGGAGTGGAAGGAAATCACAAAAGACTTTATGGAGGATATGGCACATGGACTATATCATGAAAACTGTGCACAGCTTCAAGAAGTGAAGGGAGAAAGGACCTTCCAAGCAAAGAAAATAACGAGTAAAGGCGCGAGGGTGAGATAGCTCAGGGTGTCTACAGCATAGTCTTCATGGACTTAAATTATAATAGTTTAAGAACAGTGTCCCAGCTTTTAATTTCTCCTTCATGTGTAAGACACATACTTATATGTACAGGGTATCATCTTAGTACTATTAACGCTTGAGACTGCTCTAAGACTTTGGGGACACCCTGTGTCTGAAGCCACCAACATTAATACCATTCTAAGGGCTGTATAGCCCATCTTCTGGGATCTTTTATTATCAATAATAACAGTTTGATTCCTTTGCACATTTTTCTAAGAAACAAGATTCATCATGTTAGGTACAGAATAGCATTTTGCTCAAAAGCAGCTTCTCTCACACTCCAAAAATCTAAGTAAAAAATTCAGTGGGTAGAAATCACTAATTGCTCCAGGACAAACAAGAGACAGTATAGCAAAAAGTCATATGTATATTTCAGTATCATCATAATCATAAGAAAAGTAAGAAAATTAACTTTCCCTTTTTCTTTAAAAAAAATGATACTATCAAATTTTATTTTCCATGTATAAACATTTTTCAAAAAAGTATTTGTGACTAGTTTTTTAAACCTCTGGATAGGTAGCCTGATTGAAGGAGTTTAGTCCTTAGGTTGTCATTAACATTTTGAAAGTAATATTTAGGGGCAGCTAGGGGCGCAGTGGATAGAGCACGAGCCCCAGAGTCAGGAGGGCCTGAGTTTAAATCCAGCTTCAGACACATAACACTTAGTAGCTATGTGACTTTGGGCAAGTCACTTAACACCATTTGCGCCACACACACACACATACACACACACACACACAGAGTAATATTTGATGCCTGTTCTGGTTAACACGGATATTTTGTGATTAGATGTGGCAGATAGGAGGCACAATGGATAGAACTCTGGACTTGGAATCAAGACCTGAATCCAAATCCAGTATCAGATGCTTACTAATTGTGTGACCCTGGACAAGTCACTTACCCTCTGTCTGTCTCAATTTCCTCATCTATAAAATGAGGATAATAATAACATCTACCTCCCAGGGTTGTTGTGAGGATAAAATGAGACAATATATGTAAAGTGCTTTGTAAACCTTAAAGCATTATATAAACACTTGCTATTGTTATTATTTAAAACCTATAGATTCCACTTATTCCACTGCTATGAAGTATTTTTCTCTATTTTATGTGCTATTACATATAATGAAGTTGCTTTATTATAGTTTTAGAGTAATTTTATATCACTTAGAATCAATAGTCATATGCCATAGGAAGTACTTGGTCTGTCATTTAGGAGGTAAAATTTGTTTTGAATTTACAGAAATCAGGATTCTGAAGATGTCAGACAGTCCCTCTGTCAAAGCTAGTGTCACTTTAAGAAACGGGGTGGAATCTCCTAATGTCAGTTTCAAGTCCTCCAGCTTCTGCAGCTTGTCATCCACATCTTCGTTTCAAGATAGCGGCTACAGTGACTCTCTGAAGGCTTCCAGCTTTGACTACAGTGATGTGGAAAACATAGGAAAAAATATGAAAGGCTTATCATCCACACAGGAATACTCTGAAAATTCTAGTCTGGGTTTCACCTGTTCTGTGGACTCTCCCACTGAAAATAAGAATTCTAGCTCTTTTTTTAGGAAAGAGGTGAATGAAGTCACAGAGCTCTGTGAAACTCCAAAAGTAACTAGGAAGAAAACATTTTTCCGTAGAAGATTGAATATAACAAATATTATTTCAAGAGAGGACACAGAACACTTTGATAAGCAAAACTGTTCTTTAGGAAGCTGTGCAAAAGCACTGCCCATGAGCCAGCTCCTCAGTTTTGAAGAAAGAGTTTCAAAAAGGGCTTTGGGGTCCCCAAGACAAACCATTTTTGTTCCTGTAGCCACTAGTACTTTGAAAGCAGACGAAGCCACTTCCAATGGTCAAAAATTGAGACTCTCTTTTTCTCAGCATAAAACATCCACAATTGATGATTCCAAAAGTGATCGTAGCCTATTTGAAGTCGAGTGTATCTCTCCAATTCAGGGAAACAGCTGTACAGATGCTCTCACCAATGATTTTGGGGATAGCATTTTAAGTATTAATGGAGAGACTACAGGCCCTGAGCTGCTGGGATCATCTTCTTGTGAAGCACTCTGTGAGACAAAGGAGGACGTATTTGTAACTCCAATCAGTAACCTGGTAGCAAACATTAAGTTTTGTGGTTATAGCCCAGCTGAGGGGATAGATAATATTTCCACACCTGAAGACAGTGGTTTTAATTCACTGGGTCTGGATAAGTCACAAGATTCCTTTTCCGACCATGAGGGTTCTTTTCAAGAACTATTTCAGAAACCCCTGGGGACTGAGAGGACTTTGGGCACAAAGAGAAAGCCAAAAAATGTAGGAAGAGTGAGAAGACTGTCCACGCTTCGGGAACGCAGTTCACAGTCTGAAACTGAAGAAGATAAGCCTTTTGTGAATTCTGGCTTTAAAGCAAAAATAGCAGCAGCTTCTGGCGTTTCTCCAAGTGAACAGATTGATAATAATAGTGGAGATTCGATTTTAGGTCTTAAGGATTTATCAAAGACACCTGCTTTACAACTGGTCCATGAGATCATCATGAAAAGCAAAAGGAAAAGATTTCAGCAAACTGGTGTAAGAAGCCGTCTAAAGAATGTTGAGGGGGGAGAAGTATCCTTATTGGAATATGTGATTGCAGGGCTTATTGGCAAGAAGATGGGCCTGGAAAAACTGGACATCTTAACAGAATTAAAATTTAGAAACTTAAAACATATTCTTGCTATAGTATTAGATGCCTTGACAGTGGAAAATCTATGCAGGTAAGAAATGAAATAGATTGTCACATAAAACTGCCCTTTCATTGTTATTTGTAATTAGTAATTGTGTAAATGAGAAGAGGTTTTCTATTCTTCCATATTTTGCACCATCTCAACTTCTGAGATTTTAGATTTGAGCCATTCAAACATTTTAGACAAAATTCTCTTTGGAACCTGTTAGTAGATTTCATATTAGGCAGAAGCACTTTTGAAGAAGGACAAAAGAGACTTTATCCAGATGGTAAGTATATCTATTTCACTAGTTGGAAAGAGACTTCCTAGAATTTAAACTTAGAATTTTCAATATAGAAAGCTTTGTTCTAACAAAGCTGTTTAGTTATTAATTTATTGTACTTTACAACGCATACATTGTTATCAAATTGTCTTTTTCCAACATTAAATATGGCCATATTTGATCACTACTTATCCAATAATGTAAATCAGGATATGTGGTCATGGAGAGAAGACAGCATACTGAGGATAATATATGAGTAATGTGATAGAAAATAGGTTATCTAAAGACTTCCTTACTGGTGAAATATGGAGGTTGGCTACATTTCACCAGTAAGGAAGTCTCTTTCAACTCTGAATCTGTTGTCTTAGGATTAGCTTACTTTGTACTAAGAAAAATTTTTTTAAAAATTAAATGTTCACTGACTGAGGAAATAAGAACTTTTCTATTGTTCACCCAACATCTTAGGATTTCAAAGAATTGAAGGATAGTAGGATGTGATGTTTAAAAAGTTAGGAAGACATAGTTTCTGGGTAATTAATCACTGTATTAATAATGCTAGAATATTATTAATAAAAGGAATGGTTATTTGGCCATCTCTTTTGGACCAAAGATGAACCATGGCAGTGGGCTCATAGTTTCTATACCCTTGGAAGACTGGGTGTTCCTGAGGGTGGCAATCAACTCTGATTGCTTAACAGTTAATAAGAGAATGAATATCATAATGAGAGGTGGACCTATTCTAATGAGGGGTTAGGGGGATATAATTTTGATCACCCCCAGCCTGGGAAAATCTAGACAAAGAATCTATACTCCCCACCCACGCCTGAGGAGAACACAATTGGGGAGATGAAGGGGTTTACTTTAGTTTAAATTCCTTGTAAGGGGTGGGATAGCAATACCTAGATTGAGGAGCAATACTTAAGATTGTTAATCCTTTCTACTCTCATCAGTCCTGTCCTTCAGAGGCTGAGCCTTGAAATGAGGACTTTAGAAAAGAGGGGAGAACTCTGGATCTGCCCAAATCATTGGTTCTTAATAATTATTTCTCTCAAGGAGAAGGGCTATAGCAACAGAAGTAAAGTTTCTTACAGGAATAGTATGTATGCTAGGGAAAAAAATTAAATTTCTTTCTTGATAAGAAAAGAGGGCTCAATGGCTTTCCCATATCTCCTAACTGATGCTTTACAGAAGTTCTGGACTAATTCTCCAGAACTCATTCTCAGAGGTTGGGTCTGTTTTTCAGGTAGTTATTATTGCCACTCCCAACCCCACAAAGAATTGCCACTAATGAGTAAACGATGTCACATTTCTCTTCTCTACAGCCTCAGATTTCTCCCACTTACCTTGGCAAGGGGAATTTCTAGGGACAGATGATTCTTATTTTCATAATGGAATAGTGGTAGTAGTTTACATTTATACTGTGCTTTCTCATTTGAGCCTCACAGCAGCCTGCATGGTAACTCATGGATGGATTATCCTTATTTCACTAATGAGATCAGAGAAATTAACATCAAGTCACCTAGCTAATAGATGGCAGAGCCAGTATTAGAATACAGACCTCCTAATTCCCAGACTAGTGGTCTTTCTACTATACTTCCCTTTCAGTCTTGTGGTTTTTTTGTTAACTTAACACACTCCAAATAGAATGCTCATTTGCATATGCATAGTAGATCCAAACAAAGAAGATTGTACCTGAAATTGCAGGTCTCTTTTATGTACATCTTACTCTCCCTCCTTTTAAGTCTTAAAACTTAAGAGGGGGCAGGGGGCAGGGGGCAGTAGAGAGATTGCTGAACCTGGAGACAGGTCGATCTGGGTTTAAATCTTCCCTGTGACATTGAGGAGCTGTGTAATTATTACCTAATCCCCCAAGCCTCAGTTCTTCATCTATAAAATGGAAATAATAATACTTGCAGTACTCCAAATCACAAGGTTATTGTGAGAGTTCAGTGAGATCGTGTGCATGAAGTATGTTGGAAACATTAAAGCACTATATAAATGTTAGTTGTAATTATTGTTAATAATAAAATCATTGAGTACAGATTGTATCAGGAAAGGAGAAAAAGGGGATAAATCACGTGATGGGCTATGGGTAAAATATTATATAATTGAGGACAGCTGGGTGGTACAGTGGATAGAATGCCAGGCCTAGAGTCAGGAAGACTCATCTTCTTGAGTTCATATCTTGCCTCAGATTCTTTCTAGCTGTGTGACCCAGGCTAGTCACTTAACCCTGTTTGTCTCAGTTCCTCATCTGTAAAATGAGATAGAGAAGGAGATGGCAAACCACACCAGTATATCTGCTAAGAAAACCCCAAATGGGGTCACAAAGAGTCAGACATGACTGAACAACAACGTTGTATAATTAAGCGTCACCCTGCCTTATTTCCCTATATTTTTAAGCCTATATTTTTTAAAAAATGAAATTACCTACTGTATCAATAGATAAAGATAATTAAAGGAGTGGTAAAAAGAAAAAGAAAAAGCCAAGGTGTTTAGGTAAGGACTAGAAAGGAGCCTGACATCTACTTTTCTGACCAGTTTCTATTCATTCCTTTTCCAGTGATGTGATTCCCAGTCTGTGGCATATTTCTGGTTGTCTATACTCTGTGATATGACTTGGAAGTATGTTCTCTCTGGTACTTAGAACTTGGTATACTAAAAGAGAATAAACACAGTTGAAATGGCCGTGGTGACACTCATATTGACCCCTTACCTATTGATGGTCTACTTTCTGTTCCCTTCTTCAGAGAGACCATTTCTGTTCATTGTGGAGCATATATTATTTGCTCTGCTGAAGTGTAATGTTAGATTCATAGACATAGAGTTAGAATGGGCCTTAAAGATCGTATAGTCCAATCCCTTCATTATACAGCTAAGGAAACTGAGTCACAGAGTGATTAAGTGATTTATCCAAGGTCATATAGATAGCAAGTAGCAGAGTTGAGATTTGAACACAAACCATCCCTTTCTGCTGCATTGACTGAAGAAGACACAGCAACTAAAATTTAAGTAATATTGCCAACTCAAACAGAAAAGGCTTTTATCAATCAACCCTTTCGTGTACCCCTCATTCATTCTTAGGTAGAAAATGACCTCCTAATTTGGAGAGAGAAAGAAGAGCCAAGGGTCAGAATGGTCCCAGCGGGGACTTGTGTCACAGTTCTTGGCATGATTCTGATTTTCTCCCTGACAAATAACGATCTAAATTGTTAATGAAAAGTATTCTTTTTCCCCTTAATATTCAGTCCTTATGGCTTGATTACACACCTGGCTAATCATGTCATACTAGGTGTTTTGGTACGTGGTATTCTCAGATTACTGAATGTAAAAGCTGTGCCTCATTTTCTTTGAGCACACAAATGTGCGCTCACTAGTCTGTTACTGAAACAGACTTACAAGGGTGTCTTTTCGCTACGTGTAAGCACACTGTGACCCCTTCCCCTAGTCTTCGGAGAGCAACTAAGCAAAAGATGCTACATTTCACATTTTTTATGAAAAGTAGACATCTGTCCTTTCTAAAAGGTAAATGATGTGGGTTTTTTTAAGTGTTCAAAATGGCTAAATTTAAGTCTTTGAAAAAATTCAGCATGAGATATTCTGAAAACCTTCTGATGTTACTTTGAGGATATTTGATGATGATGATGAAATTTTATACTTTCCAAGTAGATTTCTTTTTGTTGTTATCATTGTCTAGACCTGTGATTTCATTGGTGTAAGAAATTCCCTCTATGCAAAGTCTTTCCCTCAGTGCCAATCAGCAGTTTTATGATTTATCATTTTAGAGAGGTACCAGGGGCACTAGAAGGTTAAGTGATTTGCCCGTGGTGCCACAATTAGTTTGCATCAGAGACCTTAAACTCCATTCTTCCTGACCCTAAGGTCAGCCCTATAACCGCTATGCTATGCTGCTGCTTCTTACAATAGCCAAACTCCCAAGAGACTGATTTATAAAACAGAACTTATTAATTTGCCTTGAGAAATATCTCTGCCAAGTGGAGACTCTCCTCCAGATGAAGAATAGCATTTTCTTATTAGGTAACAGGTGACATAGTAGATAGAATTCTGGATTCAATGTCAGGGAGACCACCATTGAAATTCTACTTGTTACTTACTAGCTGTGTGAGACTAGATAAGTCATTCAACCTTGCTCAGCCTCAATTTCCTCATCTATAAAATGGGGATCATAACAATTGTGAGGATCCAATAAAATAATGTATGTGAAGTACCATATAAGTGCTACCTATTATTAGGAAGAAAATGTATTGACCTGGCACCAATAAGTCTTCTCTACTTGACAGATCTACTTCTTATGGTAATTAATAAGTTGGAATTCTCTTTTGTCAATTATTCCTTTGGGAATTTGGCCAGTATGAACCAGATCTCCAGAGCCTGATAACACCTGGGTAAACTTAAAAACATAGGGTTTCAGGGGCAGGTAGGTGGCCCTGACCTCAGAGGTGTCAGAGCTTGCAATCCTGGTCCCTGGTGACTGCCATTAAGGCAAAGACCCTATGAGGTCCAGCCTGGAAGACCACGTTTGCCAGCTAAATCTAATACCATCTTCATTGTCCAAACAAAAGACTTTGTTAGCTAGTTACTCATAGAATGGATGAATGAATAAAGAAACCTTTATGAAGTTCTAATGATCTATGAAGCAACAAGTGCTAAGCAGAACAGATACAACCAGGAAAGCAAAATGGTCCCTGTTCCTGGAGCACGTAATAGCTAATACGTTAATGCTATTCCATTGTTATTAACTATCTTAAACGAAGTGTGACGTTTATAAATACTAACGCTGATGTGTACAGTCTTGTCTTGTCTATATGGTATTGCTATGCTATTTTCCCTACATATATATGTATATGTGTGTGTGTGTGTGTGTTTATGTACATGCCTTCACATGGCAATAGTATAATGAAAAGAGTGAGGACCTTTGAGGAGGGACCTGGGTTCAAATCCCATCTCTGATAGTTAATCATTGAGGGACCCAGGGCAAGTCAGTCACTTAACTTCTCTGAGATTCAATTTCCTTTCTTGAAAAAGGGAGATAAAAATCTCTAGTACTGCATAGGGTCATGAGGATCAATAAGATAGTACACATAAAGAACTTTGCAAACCATGAAAAATTATATAATGTATCAGCTGTTGTTATAGTGATACAAAATTTTATGAATGCATTTCTTTTTTTCATGTAAAACTTGTAATATGCACTGTAGAAGACTGAAAACAGCTAAAATATTGATTCTAGAATACCTTTAAGCTAAATTTTAATTCTGTGGACTTCTTATAATTTAAGTATTTCTCTTTTTGTTATAGTGTTTGGAGAGTAAGCAAAAATTGGCGTGAAATTGTTGTACAAGATAAAAAAGCAAATCAAAGGAGGAAAGATTATATACAAGAACTGAAGGCAGATTCCAGGGTAACACATTTTTTTATTTTTGCTTTTCCTAAAGTGCTTTTCCATAATTTCATCGACCAATTCTTAAATTGGATATAGCATTCAGGTTTTATAATAATATGTATGCATTATTTTCCTTGATAGCTTTTAACTTTTGTGATTTATCCAGCATTTATTTTTACATATATTTTGCCCAACAGCACTTGACCTCATCTGTAAATAGAAGAGAACATTATTTTTTGTTCAGTTGTTTCAGTCATGTCCAACTTTTCATAACCCCATTTGGGGTTATCTTGGCAGAGATACTGGTTTGCTATTATCTTCTCCAGCTCATTTTACAGATGAAGAAACTTAGGTAAACAGGGTTAAGTGACTTGCCCAGGGATATATAGCTAGTAAGTGTTTGAGGCAACATTTGAACTCGGGTCTTCCTGACTCCAGGCTGGGTCTCTATCCACTGCACCACCTAGCTGCCTTATAACATCAATACCTTTGTTTCCAAAAAAGCATTTGTGTGTGCTTTTACAGCTATTTAGGATTTTGTGCTGATGATGTGCTAATTGGATGTCTTTCCATTGGGTTAACCAGACAATGAATACATCAACATGCATTTATTGAAAATATAAATAAGTAAATGCAAATATAAAAGTGAAATAGTCCCTGCCCTGAAGGAGCTTGCAATCTATCTGGGAGAAACAACACATACACACATAATAAATACAAGATAATTTTAGAGCAAAGTAACTGGAATGCGAGCAAAGGCTTCATGTAGAAAGTGGCATCAGAAGTGAGCCTGGAATGGGGTATGGGCTCTAAGAGGCAGAGGCGAGGAGATGGCGCATTGCTGGTTTAGAGAACAACCATTGAAAAGCTGTGGAAATGGCAGATGGAGTGCTCTGTATAAGCAACAAAGAGAAAATCACATGTAAACATGGAAATGATAAGACTAGGCAGTTCACTGAATATGTGGGTTAAGGAAAAGTGAGGGGTTGAGCAAGACACCAAGATTGTGAGCCAGGGTGACTGGAAAGCTGGAGAGAAAGAGGGAAGTTTGGAACAGGGATGAGCTTGGGGGAAGGGAGGTAACAAGCTCTTTATTGGATATATTTGGCTTGAGATGCCAACATTAAGTTCAAAATGTCCAACAGGCAGTTGGAGATGGGCAGCTAGAGCTCAGGAGATGTATGGGTCCTTACTAAGTGATAAGCATTGTTATAAACACTCAGAATACAAATAGAAAAGGGCTACAATCCCTGCTCTCAAGGAACTCATGTTTTGAAGGGAAAGACAATCCATATGAGAGGGTCTAGCCATCTAATTGATGAAAAGACCCAATGGGCAAAATGCAAGGCCCAGGGGTCTTTAGGATATGTGATCAAGGGTTAAGAGACAGCATAGAGAAATTCTTTTTTAAAAAGGGCCCAGGACAGAGCTTAGTTAGTTAGATGATGTGGATGATAACCTAGCAAAAGTGACTGAGAATGAGTGATCAGGCAAGTAGTAGAAAGATCAAGAGAGATCAACTATCCTATCATGAAAACCTAGAAAGAGTATCTATATCTAGGAGGAGAGGGTGATTAGTGGTATATGGTCAACAGTATCCCATGCTACAGAGATTTAACAAAAGATAAAGACTGAAAAAAGACCCATTAGGATGTTTGGTAAAGATGGTGATATAAAACCCTGCTCACCTAAGAAACAACCCATCAAAGATTTTTTAAGAAAGGAGGGGGGAAGTGACCAGATAAAGCAAAGATTCAGTAAGTCAGCTCTTCCATCCAGTCTAGGACTGCACAAGAAGATGACTGGAAACTTATGGGCATTTTGATAAAGAACCCTTCAGGAACACCTGATGCCAGCAGGATTGGGTCTCCATCTATCAGAGCTATAGCAGGGGTAAAACCAGCTCGTGGTAGGTGACTGGGCTAGGAAATAGAGATGGGATAAGCCCAATGCCATCAGGTCTTTTAGGAATTGCAACACAATGAAGCCAGTGTGATCTGCTATAGAGGGAACCAGAAGCCAGTGAGATCTTAGCTCTAGATCTACCCCAAGGGACAAAGGTAATTCCCATGAGGTGACTGAGTAAGGAGGCAGAGATGCTAAGGTCCCTGGAAAGTTTGTGCCTCAGGGTCTTCCAGGAGGCCTAAAGCCGATATGATTTCCAATATTGCATCAGAAGACAAGGCCAGTTTCCTATAGCGGATTGTGCAAGGAGATACAGAGTTAGGGAAAAGGTCAACACCTAAGCTGGGCTACCAGAAGACAGGGAGAAGACAGAGATTGAAGCAAAGGGTCAGGCCTGATCCAAGCTCTGGGCCCAGCTCCTTGACCTGACCAGTGTTGCAGAAGAAGGCATCAAGGAGGATGAAGACAATCATCCCATCCAGAACTGCAGCAGAGCAGTAGCATTAGCATCCACACTGTAGTGGGTACAGTATCTGGGTCCACCCACCCCAGTGGGGAGGCAAAATTAGTCCTGGTACAAAGTCCTCATTTGGAATTGAGGCTGGAAACAAGAGTAAGCAAAAGAAAACTCCTAATACAATGAAAAAAATAGTATGGGTTAAGAGAAGCCCAAGAGGCGAACCAAGAAGATGACTGTAATTCCACAACAAGTAGAGGTAGAACCTAATAAGAAAGAAGTTTGGCCACAAGGAACCAAGAGTGTATGGAAGAAATGAAGCAAGAGGATTTCAAAAGTGAAGTTAGAGCTCTTGAGGAAAAAAATTGGAAGAAGAATACATGGTTTATAAGGGAAGGTGGAAACCCTGCCCAAGAAGTGGGTACCTCAAAAAACAGAATGAAACAAAAAGAACTCGATGATTCAGTGAGGCAAGCAATAGCAGAACAAAATCAAAAGCCTGAAAAGTTAGAGGAATAAGTAAGGTATCTACTATCAAAAACAACTGCCTTAGAAAGTAGGTTGAGTGGAGATAATTTAAGAATCCTCATACTCCTCCCAAAACATGAATCAAACAAAAGGCCTGGATACTATATTTCAAAAAAAAAGAAAGACTACTCCACAGTATTAGAAGCAGTTGGCAGAGTGAAATTTTAGAAAAACAAAACAAAATAATGGCTAACTCTAGAAAGAAACTCCAAATTGAAAACATTTTCGGACATTAAATATCATATTCAAAGTCCAAATCTGCCATGTCAAAGAGAAAACATGTTAAAAATGGCCGAAAAGCATTTAAGGAACAAGAAATCACAGCCAGGATTACACAAAACCATGCAGAAACTGTGACCATAAAGATTCACACAGAATGAAATATGGTACTGGAATAGAATTTTTCTGTTATCAGATGAATCCCAAAAAAAAGCCAGGTACCAATTTTTATATCAGACAAGGCAACAGTAAAAACAGAGAAGCAACAAAACCATGTTATGCTAAAAGGTATGGGAAGGAACAAAATTATGCCGGTATTAAATATATATACTCACATATTAAATGGCACAGAACCTAAGTCATTGTTGTCATTGAGTTGTTTCAGTCACGTCTGACTCTTTGTGACTCCATCTGAGGTTTTCTTGGCAAAGATACTGGAATGGTTTGCCACTTAGAACTTAAGTACTTAAAGGAAAAGCTAATTAAACAACAGGAAGAAAAGGCAGATGATATTGGGGACAATCTGATAGAGAAGATGGGAGGATATGGAATCATGGGTTGTAGGTAAAACAGTTGTACTTGGTGATGAGAAGGGAGATGTTCTTTGGAGACTGGAATAAAGAAGGAGAGATGGGGGGGTATGGAGTTGTGATATAAAAAGAAGGTGAAAATGCCCTACAGGAAAATAGAAGGGAAAGGGGATAAGAGAAGCGGGGGAGAGATAAAAGGGAGGGCAGGTTAAGGGAAGGGATATTCAGAATACACACCATCTTGGGGTGTGGGGTGGGATGAGGTAGGGAGAAAATTTGAAACTCAAAATCTTGTGGAAGTGAATGTTGAAAATGAAAATAAATAAATTAATAAACAAAAAAGGTGAAAAGAGAGAGCTCACAGTGAATGGTTTTTATATTCTTAGTAAACTATGAAGTACTCAGCTATGAAGGTAAGAGAAGGGTTATTGTGGGTATCTTGAGGAGATAAGAGAAAGTTTGGGGCAGCCATTGTAGACTAGAAAATTAATTAGTGTCTCTTTTTTTTTTCTTTTTAGGCAATTGGGGTTAAGTGACTTGCCCAGGGTCACACAGCTAGTAAGTGTCAAGTGTTTGGTCTGAGGCCAGATTTGAACCTCAGGTCCTCCTGACTTCAGGGCCAGTGCTCTATCCACTGTGCCACCTAGCTACCCCTAGAAAATTAATTAGGGAAAATTAAAATGATTATCTTGCTTCAGTGAGGGCCCTACTGAAATCACTCAAATAGATCTATGATCTCATTGATTTGGGAGTTCCCTTCAGTGGCACAGATTGAAACTTATCCATGCCTACCCATCCTATGCACTTTTCATCCAAGTCTTTCCAAAATTTTGCCATGAGGGAGCTCTTTCTCGATCTTTCCCAACACGGTGAAGTGGAACACTCTGACCAGCCTCCTGTCATCCCTAGCTTTCACCACAGGACTAGCGCATCCTTTCTTTCTGTCTTACAGTTCTTGGATGACATCTTTAGGCTTGTTCTTCAGAGTTCCTCATTAGCTGCCCGTGGCATTTGGCTCACGTGCCCCCATTTTTCTTTCCCTTTGTCCCTGGTGTGGTATTTATCTTTAGTTCTTCTGAGATAGTAATGTTCCGGGTCTTGCTACTGTATAGAAACACAGACAAAAATTTGCATGGAAAAGATGGGCCTTTCCAATTATGGGAAGCTTGGAGTCAGTAAAGATTTAAAATAGATCACATACATTTGCAGTGGACCCAGTCAGGATGACTTTCTCCGGCTCCATTCAGCAGCACATGAGTAGGAGCCAAGGACAAGGAAGGTGGGAGGAATCCAGCCTTGGAGTTTCCCAAGGTGAGAGTGTTAAGTGGAGCAAGAGATTTGAGAACGGAGGAGAGTTTAGAGTTGAACCCATTGGTACA